GCTGGAGCCTCGTGTCAAAAAGCTCTGATTTAAAATCCATAGGGTTTTGTAGAGTAGTCATCGAGCAAGCGCCGTTTGTCGTATGTCACACGCAGTTTTTTAACAAGTGACCTGTTTTTGAGGTGAAAGCGTGTCTTATCTCTGGTAATCGTGTCAGATACTGTTATCAGATGTTCATCCGTCTCTCGATTAGCCATGAATTTATCTAACAAGTCTTTTAGAGAGTCGTGTGTCACGGTCTCTACATTTCCACCCCGCAAAGTCACACCTTTGCATTTGACTTGTTTGTCCCCTAGGGCCGTCTTGTACGCATACGATTTAGGCCCTGTTGAGACAAATTCAGTAATGCTGTCTCCATTGTCGAGCTCATCGGTCAAATCACCTAGGAACCCCCCTGTGGGTGGGATCCACTCACCACTTTTAGCTGTGAATATGACAGAGTCTGTATCACAATATAGCACTCTGTCTTGAAGCTTGTCCAGAAGTTCATATAACATGAGCCTTCCGTAGGATGTTGTCATGGCCCCGATGAAAATGTTACAATCTTTTGCATGCGACTGGACCCCATTAGCATAGCGCCACTGTACTATAGCCATAGCATTGGAAATGAAGTGGAATTGGGTGACTTCAAAATGATCAGAAAACATGAGTTGCATAAAACGCGCAGGATCTGTCACCATCTCTGTATGCCCAAGATTTGAACGTTGACAGAATTTACCCCATAAATTAGTCAGTAACAATTTGCTACAGCTCCGTCGCGTCTTATTAGGTTTAATGTTGTCACGATCCAGTAAAATACCTTCACGTTCGTGATATTCAGCAATGTATTTCTCCTCATCCTCGGGTGTTTTCACATGATCAGGATATCCACTGGCTTCCTGTTTGCTTTTCAAAAACTTTTTGACATAGCCTTTAAACAGTTGATCTGATTTTTCAGCAAAATGCCACACTTCGTGAATTTTCTGTACAATGTAACCTTTTTCTACAGCTTTTAGCACTTCGGAAATAGGCCAAGTCCCTGTGAATTCTCGTTCTGTGCTAGTGTGATCACACTCGGTCATTTGATTCAATTCTGTCGCGCATGTTTTACACAGAATGAAAAACAGCTTGTCATGCATTTTATGGGGTAACACAGGATGTAACAGTCCTCTAGGCGGCAATACTACGCATTTTACAAATCCGAAATATGCTTCTAGTGGTTCAAAATCACCAATGATGATTTGTGGGTGACCTATGGGGTATTCTTTGCACGCTTGTACAGACGGATATAAACTTGTGTAATCATAGTAGAGTATTTTTACACCGTCAGACACCTTGTAATATAACTTTATGGCATTTGTACGACCACCATAAAGAGCATCACGTGGATTTAAACGCTCTGGACTTTTGTAATCTTTGAGAAATTCTTTCACAGAAGCATCTGTTTTAGTTAACTTGTTCCATTCACATTCCCACATGACTACCACATTGGATTGACCTTTCAGGTTTTTTATTTTGTCAATGGTTGCAATGTAGAGATCACTAAAAGTCTTTTTAGATAGGTGATTCATCCCTCCCGGTGGGTAACACTTTTCATGTCCGTGAATAAAGCACCCAAAGAACTCGTAACATGTGTTTGTAGAGGGGTTATAGCCGTCTACGTGATAGCGGCCAATTTGCTTTTCACCCCCTTTGAGAGCGTGTTGTATTGTTAACCCTGTGGTTTTACAGAGGTATTCGAGCCATTTGATTGATCCGTCAGAGAAACACTTGTTGGCCCCGTTATAACAGCCGTCATATGTTAGAGCTATTGTGTTTTTCTCCAGGAATACCGTTTTGTAAACACCCATACAATAACTTGGGAGAGTTACAAACGTGTACGGATCCACCTCTGTTCCAGAGAGTAACATTTCACGATAAAGCAGACAGCCACGTCTGAGAACAGCTACGTCATTGAGACAATAGCGTTGCATTTCAAATTGTAGATTGAATTCTGTATGTTTCACACTGTCATACCACTCGTTGAATTTAACTTTCTGCGCTTGATCCATTTTGTCAACGCTGTAAAAGGCTGGTTCAGGGTAGGGGCCTATATAACACTCATTTTCTTTGGTGTTAAATAAATGAGGGAAATGACCCTTTTCTAGGTCGTCAAACCCTAATGCTTCAGGTATACGTGCTAAACGCATAGGGAGAAAACTGATCGAGTCCAGCCATCTTTGCCTAAGTCGCTTGTCGTACATGCAGAGCACACGTGTGCCTCTCACGGTGAGACTAGGGGTTAGCCCCTGTCTCGCAAACTCTTCTAGGATTAAATAGTTGTCGAAAGCCGCTGCATTGTGTGCTATGAATGTGTAATCACGAAACTTTGGTGTTCTAAAATATTTCAACATTCGTTTAACACAACCATCGTGTGAAAAGTTATATTTATCACCATCCTGGTCAAGCGTACAGACTAAGACGGGGACATGCTTGTTACCATCGTACCTTGTCTCAAAATCATAAAAAATGTAGTTGGTTGTCTCTTGAACCACTTTTAAAGGCTTGATGTAACAGCTATGTTGCTTTTCACCACCTTCAGGGAGCTCAGCATCACAGTGGATGCATATTGGAATTTTACACACGTGTTTTTTAGCTGTGTTGTGATACAGATGTTTACATTCTTCACAATATGTCACAGAAAAGCAAGGTATTCTATCGTGGACGGGGTCAGGGAGTTTATGCTGATTAAAGCAGTGGGTAGATTTACAGATGCGTTTACACTGAGGACATTTAATTGTTTTCCCTGATGTCCCACACTGTGTGTAACAGATGTTACAAAGGTATTTACAGAGATGGTGCAAACTAGTACCGTATGGCTTGAGACAGTATTTGCACACATATGGACTCCCAAAGAACCCCGTTTTATTTTTGATATGATAGTAATGATTCTCATAAAGGTATAAGGCTATTGTGCATTCGTGCATTCTATCCTGTGTTTCAAATGATTGAAGACGTTTAGTCGGTGGATTGTTATGAAAAACAACAATTTTTATGTTCAACAGATTCTCAAACTTTGACACATCATTCAGTGTCACGTTTGTTTGTTGATCCAGACCAACTGCGGCTTGCCACTCTTTGGCTTTATCGAGTAATTTACTATGGGTATAGTTCGCATGAAATGCATGAGCTATACACATCGCAAAACACAAGGCATTTTCGGTATTGTGAGGGTTATAAAGAAATTTACCTTTCTTTAGCAATATTGCATCGTACGCTATAGCACCAAGTTTGAGCCGCTGACCACTACCACCACTTTGTGAATGTGCTATACTCACTATTAATGTCATTTCATCTTCTATAATGGACTTGTCGTTACTTTGTAACACTTTTTCCACTTCCTCTAAAAAATGGTCAATATTGTAGTTATTGTCAGAGTTCAAAATAACTTGAATATCGTCACTAAGCGAGGGCCCTCGTAATGCAACATTCATCACACATCCTTGTTCTGCATTGTTTACAGCCTGTGTTATTAACCCTGTTAATTTTTCATTTACTCTTTCACAAGCCTTTACGGTATCTGTAGGGTCTATACCTCGAAAATCAATGTGCTCAGACATTACCGTGGTGTTAAACTCTGATATTACGTTAACATGGACCTCACCACCTGATTGTACGTTAGCGGGGACATCACTTTGTTCAGTAATCTGTAAAACACCACCCACTTGTATGGTCTCGTTACCCTCATTAACATTACCCTCCAGGGGGTCTGACTCTGTGTGAACTATACAATTTCTTGAAACATTGTTGTGTCGACTTAAAACAGAGCTGCGTGTAGGTGGTTCGTCATTTTGCGTATCCATTTCTATAGTTTGACTATTAATACCTACACAGTTGTTTGTAGGTTGTTGTATTGTGGGTTGGATAGTATCTTTACTTATTGACTGGTTAACATTATCAGCATTTGAGGTAATGTCTGCTAGCGAAGCCCTTTCAGCTATGGTCGGTGCTATTAACCGTTCTGCAGCATGGGATGCACTTTGATGATTTGTACGAATTAGTCGATCAATACACGGATACGTGTTACGCGTTGTTTGATAATTAGTACGAATTAAACGTTCCACTGATGCATAAGTGTTAGAGCACTGACCATAATTAATTCTTATTTTTTTAGGAAGTTGAGAGGGTGCTGTAGCGTTAGGTCTTTTAGTGTGCTTCACAATCGTAAGCATTTTCGATGGCTTTCAAATGAGAAGTGTTTTCATTGATTTGCTCTATAACAGCCGCTATAGACGTGCTCGCTTGGTTATCCACTTGTGCAATTCTATCAGCTATTACGTTTCCCGTGTTTTTAAGGTGGTTGATTTCAGTAGTCAAATTTTGAATTTGTATTTCCCCGCGTAAGGTTTTTGTTTCTAATTCCCTGTTGTGTATAGAGGCTTTCGTGTATTGAGTTTGTAATTGTAGGACCTCTCGTTGAAGCGCGCGTGTCTGTAGTTGGGCTCGTTGGCCTCTAGCGCGTAGTTTAGCTCTGTGTATAGTAGCGTTTGTACGCTGATTTTGCAACACCAACACTTGTTTAGTAACTTTTACGTGCTCAGTTTGAAGATGGTGAACTTGTCTCTTTAACTGATGTATTTCGTTAAGTATACGGGCCTCTGTGTATTTTACTTGCTGGCTCACAGTTGCTAGACACCTCTCTGTGTGTAGCTCTGCACTAACACAACGTGCCTTGGTTGACTTCAATTCCTCACGTATGTTGGAGAGCTCTGTTTTTTCACAAAAGTTTTTTCACTACTGGTATTTAACAGATGTGTGTTTTCTTGTAGAGTATTCACCTTTGGTGTTAAAGCATTCTTTACAGGCCCTTTTGCTGCATCAGGAGCTGCTGCGTGTCCAGGTTCAAAGTATTCCTCACGGTCCGGGAATGGTGTTCCTGCGTTTAATACATCTTGATCGTTGTTTGGTATACCTTCATCGCGTATAATGGCATCAATGTCGAGTGTCGCTATAAAATCGATTATGTTGAAATCCTGGTTTACTGAGGGCTGATTCTCTGTGTCTTCGTCACCCTCTGATGAGCTAAAATAGTGAGAAGAAAATTATAACCACTATCATTATAAAATTATAATATGTAACTCACCTTTTATCATCATCCCCGTGATTAGTTATTTTGTGTCCGTTGCGGCGTGATAGAATTGCTCTAGAAAAAAAAATATATACCTCTCATAAAACTTGTTATATAAAGTTAGTATATGTACCGACTTACGGAGCTTTATGTTGATTTAATTTATGCATCAGGGGCATTGACTTGATGTTTAATTTACCTGTGCTGTATAAATGAAATAAAAGTATTAAACATCTGATTAAGACATTAAGGAAAATGAGATCTTACCTTATTTCATCCGTTGGCTGTATACCTCTCGTAACTTTTGCTGTTGGAGTTAAATCTTCATCGGTGTTATAATGTGTCAATAAACGACCCTTTCCTAGAGATAAACTAAATTAAAACATTTAATATGAATACTGAAAAAATGTTATAACTTACCTGTATTAGACATATTGCATAACCTTCTCTTAGACAGTCGCAAAGCGTTTGAACCATTGAAAAACTTGTAACAGACCTCCCACCCATTCTGATTTGCTAGTACGACCTCCCAACCGCTCATCACTATCAGACACACACACACGTGTCGTTAACAGGGAGGACCTGTAGATTAATTAGTTTATTGACCTAACTGCTTGTTTTAGAATACACCGTGATCATAAAACACTTTAGACAACTGTGAAAGCATTATCACACACACACAGGCCAACAGAAGCTAACTCTTTGAAAAACAAAGTGCAGTAACACCTTTCACCACTTGCTCAAGAGCGCCGTCCCCTTTCTGGGGGATTTTAGGGTGCAGTACCACCTTTTCACCACTTGCTCTCTACCGCCGTCACTACTATCTACTGACGTATTATTTTAACCCATTTAATGAGGGAATGCAGGCCCGCATTTCTTTCTCTGGAGCCGGTGTTCTGTCGAGTTGTGCCGCTCGTCAAGTTGTGCCGCCTCAGCTGTTAAAGATGTAATGCAAACCTGCGCATCCGCATCTCACGGCAGCCGAAGCAAACCAAGATGGCGGAAATGAAGTCCGCGAATTGCTTTAACCCTTTAAGGATCACCTAATTTCGCCTGTTCCTTTTCGAATTATGATACCCAAATGGAAATGCTTATTGTGTGGACATCTTGTGTCTGATGTTGTGTTATGATGCCTCATTTGAAAGGTAACACCTTTTAGTTTCTGGAAATGTATTGTTAGTATTAGATAGCAATATGGCCTACGTGCAGGACTGTACAAGGACTGTACAAGGACTCCATGTTATGACTATGATTTGACTGTCTCTTTGTGACACGTATGTCTTCCGATGTGTGACGTGACAATGACTATATAAACTGTGTACTGCCTTTATTCTGTCTGAGGGAAAGAAACAAAGTAAACCATTGGAACTTGAGAGAAACTTAATTAAACTTCCAGAGTTTGGCACACCACGATCCGTCTGTCTGCTAAATCCTAACAGATTTGGTGGAGAATGCGCGGCTCCGTGTGTGCCATTCTCTGGATTGTTTTGAGAGAGTTTGCTTTGTTTCTTTTCCTCGGCGTGAGAGACCGGCATGCTGTGTCTGGGAGCGGAGATTCCAGCAGGCTGGAAGAGCTGTTCCTGGATGCTTCTTGTCGCTTCTGTCACTTTTGTTTTTTAAATTCAATATTCCGACGCGGAAAAGAGGTTGGCAGACCTCTCGGACAGTCCTTGGTACCTGTTTGACAAGAATAAGGTAAGCAGACACCTTTTTATATGTAAAGTCTGTATAATTGGATACTAGCTAAATTTTGGTCTGTTTTTGGGGTCTGTCAAACTCTCTAAATTGTATTTGAGAAGAAGTCTCGGGGTTAGAGTCCCTTTGAGAAGAAGTCTCGGGGTTAGAGTCCCTTTGAGAAGAGGTCTCGGGGTTAGAGTCCCTTTGAGAAGAAGCTTCAGGGTTAGAGTCCCTTTGAGAAAACGTTTTCGGGGTTAGAGTCCCTTTGAGAAAAGATAGAGAAGGATCCTTAGTGAAACCATGGTGTAAAATTAAAAGTAATTTTAAAAAGGGAAACGTGTAAAGGAGGCCTTTGTTACAAAAGCTTTGAAATTGACGAATTTCAGGCTGATAAATGACAAAAGTAAAGAAGCAACAATATTTCAGTGATCACGGTTTAAATTACATACAGAAAAAGGGAGTTTTTTGTTATTTAGTTTGTTTTTTGGCGTGAACAGAGTTCACCGGAGAATGCAGAGTTTTATCTACAGTTAAGCTATGAGAGGGTTGTATCCAACAGTTGTTTTTTTTGTTTTTTAGAAAGAGATTGAGTTTAAATTAGTTTGCTACCTCGATAAAATAGAAGCGTAAACGTTAAAGACAAGAGTGCCTTTTGTTACAAGTGTGGAAAGTGATCACTTCTAGACTTGGATGACAAAAGTATAAACTACAAGTTATATTCGCTTAACAAAGTAATCTTGAAAGTTCTTCTTTCTGTTTTAGCATTTTTGCTAAAACCGTGGGCGGCACGGTGGCTGAGTGGATAGCACTCTCGCCTCTCAGCAAGAAGGTCCTGGGTTCGAATCCCGGCCGGACCAGGGCCTTTCTGAGTGGAGTTTGCATGTTCTCCCCGTGTCTGCGTAGGTTTACTCCGGGAACTCCGGTTTCCCCTACCACTAAAAATATGTACAATAGGTCTGGCATGCGCCTCCTGTTCGGCGACCCCGCTCCCATCTCTGTGTGGAGTGAGAGGACAAGTGCCCAAAAAAATAACAATTGTAAACCGCTTTGTGACTCTGGTCTGTGAAAGGCGGTATATAAATAAAGATTACTTACTACTAAAACACTACTTTCTGCCTGTGTGCACATCTCTATCTTGCTGCTGTTGTCAGGGAAACGGCCCCCTCCTTTGCTACTCTGGCTCTGAATCCGAGCAAAGCTACTGCTTTAGGATTTCTGGCTTTTCATAGTTGTTATTCCGTTAAATTTGGCTGTAAAAGTATTATTAAGTTGAACTGTACCCAATTCACATTCAAGTGGTGACGTTTTTGTTTTGACTACACGCCTGACCTTGTTGCTCCTGCTGATGCACACAGCAGAGGAGACTGGCTCTAAAATGTGCTCCAATTCATATTGACTTCATTTGAAAAATGCTGCAATTATTTTAAATTAGTAGAATAGATGCTGAGATAAATAAGTGTAAAAGGGAAAGTCCATAAAGTGAAACCCAAGGATGTTCAAGATAATTAAACACAGTACAAAAGTACATAATACATATTTTAAAGGTTGAAGGTTTAAGAGATTTGAGTCTTGTTTTTTATTAAGAGAGTTTCTGGTCTTAAAAATGTCATCAGTAGTAAGATAATAAGTAATCTTTTATTTACATAGCGCATGTGGGAAAACCCAGAGCGCTCCAAAATGGTTTAGACTTTAGGGAGAAAAACAATCTCATTCGCATACTGATATCTATTGTTTTTTTAAATTGGCCGTCTCAAGGATTGTTTTTCAGACTCTGCCACACTGTACGAGAGGTCACTGCTGGACACTGGACACCAAAGCCCACCCAGCCACAAATCAAAGAGCTAAGGGAAATGCCACCTCCTTGCCCCTCCCCACGCCACTCCAGAGCTGAGTGGGTGTGAGAGAGACCGGGGTAGAGAGAGGTTTCTGGAGACGTGATGGGTGGAGGCCTCAGGTAGAGACCTAGAGGCAGTTGAAAGTGTATCCACGTGGTTACATCACCACAGTGTGACCTTCTAATGCAGGTGGTTCGAGGAGTCTGGAGACACAACCCCAAAATTCACACCCTACACACACACACACACACACACACACACACACGAAAAAACAGAACATGAGAAAAAAGCATTTTAAAGGTTTACTCCAATGTAAACACATTTTTAATTGTCTATCACTTGAATCTTTATTTGAATCAGTATTTTTTGAGACCAGAAATGTTCATTTGAATTCTATATTGTCATGGACTTAATTGACGTCTTTTGATTTGTTGATTTTGTACTGTGTGAAGTAATTACATTGATTACATCTGATAAAAACACAAATTAGAGAAGTAAACTGAATCATTGCGCTTGCTTTTGTCTAAGGGACATTAGCAACAGCATGAATAGAAATTGTCTTTACAGTAGAATTAAAATGACTTAACCATAGAGAGTAACTACTGCATAACAAGCTGTGTACAGGAACTGTGACACTGCACCATTGACCAGAAGTGCATCGCAAATGACCTGATGTGCTTCAAGTGAAAAGACTGTATCTGGAGATCCTGATGTGCATCTGGAGACCAGAACCATGGCTTGGACCCTACTGATGACCAAGATGACATCTCTCTATGACCTGACCTGATGAGGACTGAGACTCACCCTCAGGGGACCTGAGGACCTGAGGACCTGAGGATCTGAGAGAGAAAAACCTGGGGAGTGATGTTTATATTATTGAAATCATACATTGATGAGTGCTAAATGAGAGAGATACTCATGATTCTTTCTTTTGTTTTTGTTTGTCCCTAGCTTCTGGACATCTGATGATCTATTGGACACAGCCATTTGCAGAACAAGAACCAGCCAATGAAATCGTCTATTGCCGATGCTATTGCTACAACCAGAACCACAACTGTGACAAATGCAATATACATGTTAAGTATTCAGACATCTGACAGACAAAAACTTTGAAAATGATAAAGTATGAGTATTGTAGTGTTTTAGTAGATGTTAAATAGTAGTAAAAGAGTAGAATTTGATTTCCTTTGTTGTTCATAAACACATTTCCACATAAGAGTTAAAATAGTACCATACAATGTTATCCTTTTGATAGATCAGCTAGAATATTAGAATCAGAATAATTTTACAGCCATTGAAAGTGACAGAAGTCACAAATTAGGAATATGCCTTTGCTCAAGCTGCAACCAAGCTTTGGAGCCACAGTAGAGTAAAAATATAGAATTAGATAAATGCATCAACCATAGATGCTTTCAAAAATAGAGATTATTTCCAGCCAGTGCTAATATCAAATGGTAAAGGGACCATTTCACAAACATTTACTTCAGAAGTAAATCAAGTTAATTACAGTTGTATGTACAGTTTTATTAGATACCTGCCAAATTCACTTGTGTTCAAACATCTGTGAATGTTTGAATGTGAGATTTCATAACACTTTCAAGCAACTTTTGTTAAAGTTAAACTCATCATTCTATCAATGTGCAGAAGCCAGTACTTTTCCCTTGTTTTGTCTATCTGAAGGCCAAGCTACAAGCACACCGTGGCAGCTGCTGATTGGAGGTCTCCATGCCTCCGCTCTGTATAATACACTTGCATTCTATTGTATCTGTGTTCGTGTTGTCTCTACCATAGACAATAAAACATGTCTTCTGTCTGAATTTAAGACGCGATCCCAGACTATGTCATCTTCTTCAGTTGACAATACAAAAAGTTCATGAAAGTAGCTTAGATCAATGAGATAGATTAGCACCAACAGATTCAAAAGCATTTAAAAGAATTTTGATGCATTTGGGTGTAGCTCAAAAACAAAATAGTAGATATTTGGATATCTTTGAGAAGTTTCCAGCACAAACACCATTGTAGAATAACTGACCCCAACCCCAAACCTGCTAAAATAGATTAGCTCTTGTAAGGATAATACCAATTTGATTAATGATGTACATTCATCCCAAACTGCCTGAGAGGAGGAAGTGACAGCACTTCCTGGTTCAACAAATGTATTTGGAAAACTGACCGCCATAATAATGTTCATATTAACCATTTGTCTTACTGTGTTCAGTTTTATTCATGAGAATGAGAATAGACATGGAGCAAAATCCCACTAACAATAAGCCACTGATAATGAAAGTAAACCACAGAGATTTATTAGATTAAAATGTATGTTTAAGAATATGGCTCAATAGAAGCAAATATACAAACATATTTGTAAATAGATTAGAATAGTTTTAAACTATAGTGAATAGTAAAAGTAAAGTACACAGTCTAAAGGCGCGTTCAGACCAAAAGCTTCAAAAAGCTTTTGACGCGCTTCAACTGACGCCGGGATAGTTTTGTCATTTTGGTGGTTGAAGCTTTTGACGCGAGTGACGCGCCTGACGCCGGTGGGAGGAGCTTCTCTGTTGCCTGTAGTCAGGACAGCGGTGGATTTTTCAATGAGCAGCGAGCCTTTATTTGTTATATAAAGCAAAATAACGTTGTTGTAGGGCTTCAACAAAACATGTTCTGGGTTCACCACAGACTTGAGAGGCTGCAGTGTTTGCAGAGTTCCGTCATTTACTCCAGGAGCTGCGTACGGAGGAGTTTCGCTTTCAGCGGTACTTCCGCATGTCACTCGCCCAGTCTGAGTTCTCAAACCCCGGCTCTCGCCTCTCCCCGGCTCTCGCTCGCCTCTCCCTGCATCTCCCCGGCTCTCGCTCGCCTCTCCCTGCCTCTCCCCGGCTCTCGCTCGCCTCTCACTGCCTCTCCCCGGCTCTCGCTCGCCTCTCCCTGCCTCTCCCCGGCTCTCGCCCGCCTCTCCCTGCCTCTCCCCGGCTCTCGCCCGGAGCTGCCTTGCTCTGAGCCAGACCCATCGTCAGCCTGTTCTTATATTAAATAAACTACGTTTACTACACAGCATGTGTACAATGATTTTTGTTACTCAGAATGTTACTACTCATACAAATATTACTAATAACAATAATGACAATAAAAAAGCAGCAGCAGATACATGACTTCTCTCCATGACAGAGACAGACCCTCTGCTGCTGCTGCTCCTCGTCTCTTGATTGGTTGAAGCCCGCGTCAAAGCTTCAAAAGCTCAGCTTTGCTCAGCTTCGGCGTCAAAGGGATTGTTGTGATACGCGAGCGTTTCGCGGGTCAAAAGCTTCAAGTGAGCGCGTAGTACGCGCGACTCTTGAAGCTTTTGACGCGCGTCAAGTGACGCCGGGGCTCTCGGCTTCACCATTCACTTTCAATGGAAACCTGACGCTTTTGACGCCGAAGTTAAGTCCGGTGTGAACGCCCCTTAAGATTGAAAAGTGAGAATAATACAGTGAAATAAGTGAAGTGTAAACAATCAGCATTAGAATAAAAGTATAGAGTAATAAAAGTTAAATTAGCTTCTAATTTGAGACTCAGCTCGTTTTTGTCTGTGTTTTGACTGAATCTGCTGAGTTCTTGTGTGTCCAATAGTGTTTGTTTGTTTTTATTTTTGATTTGTTTTTGTTGGTTTATTTACTTTATTTTTGTTTATTTTTCCCCAGGATAGAGGATAAAATCCACTGATATTGATTTGATGATTATGAGTTTAAAAAATTATTAAAAAACAAAGAAAATGTATGCATTAAAGTTTTTTTTTGGATTTTTTTTTTTCTTTTTCCACTTTATTGATTGATCAAATTGAGGGATCACATGTGATTATGTGATCAAAGGGGAGGGTGTTAGTATTAGATAGCAATATGGCCTACGTGCAGGACTGTACAAGGACTCTACAAGGACTCCATGTTATGACTATGATGTGACTGTCTCTTTGTGACACGTATGTCTTTCGATGTGTGACGTGACAATGACTATATAAACTGTGTACTGCCTTTATTCTGTCTGAGAGAAAGAAACGGAGTAAACCATTGGAACTTGAGAGAAACTTAAATAAACTTCCAGAGTTTGGCGCACCACGATCCGTCTCTGTCTGCCTGAATCCTGACAGTATGTTACAGTTTGTTAGGAAGGACACAGTCTGCACTACAGCTTCTCAAACATGAGTCAAAGTTAGTTTTTTTTGTCTAAAAAAAAAGAAGGCAATTTCAAAAGGTTCTCCTGAAGACATACTTTATGGTATGTTGTTCAAACTCACCACAGCAGATGTTTGTGGTGTTGGCAACACCTGTATGAAATTTTAGACCTTTAGGTGGAACTATTTTGATGCTGGGGGCTTTTTTGTGACTAATGGGCACATTCGGCACAAGTGGTCCATTTTTGTGCCAACTGTGCCAAAGTGTTTTACATGCAAATTATCAATGTTTTTACACCAAAAATCTAATTATATCATTTTTTGGCTATTACTCTTGCTATAAATAGCATTTTTTCCAGATATTGAAATGTTTGCAGAAAAGCTATTATTTATATAGTTATAGCGCGTGTTCTCCGTGAAAGAGGCTCCGCCTTCCTCTCTTACGCATTCAAATATGACGGGAACAGTGGGAGGAACCTTGAAGTCCGACACATCACCTGAAACCTGAGATTATTGGCTACAAGATGATTTGATTGACATCCAAATCGGCCAATGGTACTCAAGACAATGCTGTCGTGACGCACAGATATCTATATGACTGAAGCGCTAAAGCTAGGTGCGCTTGTTTTACTCAACTTACTCTACGTTCCAAACCATAGCACTGAAAAGTCCGGGAATGGGCTTGTTTTGAAGGGAAGGCCTAGGGGAAGACGAACATACCCAGTGACGCTAGCTAAACAGTAAAATGTCCTCTTCATACAGTGCGCAAAGAACAGGTTTTGTTTTTGTTTGTGCAACTTTCAATACTCAAATATGTTGTTACAAGTGGATGACTTTGAAGAAAAAACAACTGGATATAATTATTCTCTAGACCCTAACGAACAAAATGAATGCACACATGTGTGGATTAGACGTGATTTACCCCAGAATATTAGCATGAAAAGGTAAGAAAGGACAATATATATTTTATATATAAATACAGTTTGACTACTTATTCTTACTTTTGATTATATTTAATGTTTATTTGAACATAATACGCGTTTAGAGGTGGGAATAAGCTTTCAAAAGAGATATAGCTTGACTATATTGACACAAGTGAATTCTAATACTGATGCTGTTAAATGAAAAATTACTGAATCCTCCCTGTACAGGGAGGGTGATCCTTAAAAGGTTAAAAGTAAAAATACGAACGAATTAAGACACAAATGTCACTTTTAATGCAATTTGAGGCGAGATGTTGATGGTTCCGCGTTGTGATATGTGGGTTTTAAGAGTAAGAGTTTTGTGTAAAGTTTAGTTTAAGCAGTCAACTGCTCTTGTGAAACCAACTGCTGATGTGTGATAGCAGTCCTCGAGTTGACTGCTGCATACATCATTTTACTGACGTAAGCCGATGACGCGTCCAACGGCAACTCGACAGCTTAAAACTGGTCTGTCGGGTTGATAATGGAAATAATTAAATTTAATGCAAGTATCGTACTGTATTCAATATGATTAACAACAGTGTGTTCAAACAAAATATTTAATTAGATCGAGTTTTCCCCCATTCTGTCGGGTTTCTGCGCATGCGCAAATCAGGTTTGGGTAACAGTAGCAGTGTAGTAATGTCAAGGCCTGGTTGGGTAGCTCCAACAGCTGCCCCCATAACCCAGAAACAGACAAGTGGAAGAAAATGACTGTATGCTTCTATGCAGAATTTCAGGGCCTGAGCCCATTAGCCGAGAGCAAGTACACATTTTGGAAAGTGGTTTGGGGTCACTGGATCAAATGTAGTACAAGCTATTGAAGAAAAACTTTTTTTTTATTGCTTTCAAACATAATTTTAAGGCCTGAGCCCCAAAACCCACAGGTAGCACTATTATTTAAAAGTGTTTTGGAATGAGTGGATCAAATGCCCTATAAGCTATTGAGGAAAAACTGGTATTTTTAACAATATATAATTTTAAAAGCTTTTAAACATAATTTCAAGGCCTGGGCCCCATAACCCACAGGTAGTACTATTTAAAAGTGTTTTGGATTAAGTGGATCAAATGCCTAAAAAGCTATTGAGGTAACACTGGTATTTTTAACAAAAAAACAATTTTAAGAGCTTTTAAGAATAATTTCAAGGCCTGAGCCCCATAACCCACAGGTAGCACTATTATTAAAAGTGGTTTAGGATGAGTGGGTCAACTGCCCTAAAAGCTATTGAGGAAAAACTGGTCTTTTCTGCCAAATATCCAACCAACTTCACCGCGGTCTATAATGGACCTGTTCACCACCATTCAACTCTGTCAAACACGTCGTATTCTGACGTATTCACTGTATTGGAGTCTGTATTTAACAGCAGTAAAACGTGAAGTCCTCTCAACTCTCAATGTTTGTTAGCATTAGCCACATTAGCTCACCAACGTTACCGTACCTCTTTTGGCGTCGTTGTCTTGCCTTTATCAGGGCCGTTCGCGTTCTCTTCACGGAGTCACTGCTTTCAGCTGGTCGGCTGGTTAAATTCAGGTGTAAACGTGTAGTTTGGGAACGCGCGTGTCTGCGCATGTGGCGACGGATCCACAAGTTGTAAACACTCCTCCGCTCTGCCATGAGTTTGGGGATATCGCGAGACTACTCGGTAAGCAGTGTAAGGGAGATATCGCGAGAGCATAGAGGACAGATAAATACACCTATTAGGAAGATATTCGTCCCTCTGTGTCCTGGGTGTTCCCTTGGTCTTCTTCCGCTGGGACATGCGCAGAACCCCTCCCAAGGGAAGGAACAGCGGCTCTACTCCAAGCTTCTCCTGTGTAAGAAACCAGAGCCCAGACCAGAGTGAGAGACACCAGAGCGAGAGACCAGAGAGAGACCAGACTGCTTTAATCCGTGCCCTTTTGTCATTACCCAACGCTCATGACCAGAGGTGAGTGGGGGACGTAGAGCTCTGACTGCAGACACTGCTCCCTCATGAAGTTGAGGGAGCAAACACTTTATTGGGAGAAAATGTGCAGAGGAATCCTTTCTAAATGCTGTTTATTTTGTATTTGTTCATCAAACAAAAGTCAAACTATTTACACGTGGTGTTTCTGTTGATGCTCACAGCTACACATTTGAGTTTCCAAAGGTGTTGACAACTTAAATGTCACATATTCAAAATATACAATAATCACGGCCGTTACAGATTTAACCGTTCCTTAAATTTGAATTTTTTGGATTGTGTTTTTACTCCATCTTGTTTCCTCTGTGGCTTCACCGTGAGATTGAACTCTGAAATGTAGTTACAAGTTCACACTGTACAACATGAAACGCAAAAATTAACAAAAAGACAAAGTCCTCGTGAACAGTCGGACACAGATGTTTGAAGTCGCCGTTCACAGAACAATACGATTTAAGGCATGTTTTAAACAAATACAGCAAAAACATGGGAAAGAAAATGAGTATTTACAAGTGTTCACTCTGCTCCTCAGCAGCCCATCGAGTCTTTAACCTGTCGTAAGCTAACCACAGGGTGTAATTGTACATGTGAGATATTCCAGTTTGTCTGATCGAGGGCCGTCCACATCATCGGCTTCCAGAGATTCAAGCCTCTCACGTGGACCCCGTTCAAAAGCCAAAGCAAAGTCTCTGAGGGTCCATGTTCCGTAAGGCTGGGGCCGAGTGAAGGGGCCCGGGGCCACACCAGAGAGGGCCCACTCCTCCTGCACACAGAACCCAGACCGTTTAGTCAGAAATATATCATCAGCTTCAGAAGCAAGTTCAACCTTTATCTTACATCTTCAAATCAATTTCTGTTCAAATATGTTTGTAGTCCTCCATGATGATGGGACCCCTGGACCTACAGCCTCAGTCCTGGGTTTACGACTGCTGTTGTTTCGGGCAAGACATAAATGCATTGAATCCAATCTCAGATCAACATTACATTCAGAGTCACGCCACAAGGAAACAAAGTATGAATCACAAAGTCACAGATGTGAAAGAAACAGAGCTGTTCTCACCTGCAGAGGAGCGGAGGGAGACTGGTTTGGAGGACCAGGTTCAGGTTAAGGACCAGGACCAGGACCATCTTCAGGACCAGGTGCAGGCCTTCTCTTCTACATCCTCCTCCTGTGCTAAGTCCATGTGCATTCCCTTCCAATCCACTTTGTACTGGCATTTCCAGGGAAAACACAAGAGTTCAAATCCAAAAAGATTTGGGAACATTCGCTAGTTTTCCTTCATCCATCGTTTGCGCTCTCAAAGTTCTACAAAAATATGGTTATTTACAAGAGTATGGGGAAGGCAAGCCCCTCCAGTCTCTGATTTCTTTTTGGGAATTTCTAAAAAAATAAAATGAAACAAGGAGACAGTCCTCTTGTTACAGATGAGTCACCAAATGGTACCTCACAGCTTGAAGGAACCAAAGTGCATAGGAGAGTAGACGAGGGCGGAACGCTGAGGCGAAAGAAGCCCTCTCTCTGGCTCCGGCCCCCGGCTCCGGCTCCGGCCCCCGGCTCCGGCCGCCGCACCACGTCCACATTGGGACAACACTCCACAGAAATGGCAGAAGCGCACTTGCAAACCCACTCTTATACGTGGGAACCAAAAGTCTAAGCAAAAAGGTGAAGAAAGTAAACTGCAGCCACATGTAAACAGAGGCAGTCGAACCGTTCACCGAGTTTGAATCTTCTGTGGGAGAGTCTGTATCAGCATAAGTTTGTTATTTTTTGGAATACATTCAATATTTTCTTAAGAAACAATACACACTTCACATGGTGATAATGAAAAAAATAGAACAAAAAATAGCAGCCCAAGTGCTCATTATCTTAGTCCAAATACTTTTAAACTTTGTATATAATGTATATATTCATATATTTTTCATTACAAATGAAAACTCGTTATCAATTTGCAACAACGAATACGTAACACAACATTTCATGCTCTGTGCGTTTGCACATTAAGATCTTCAACCAGACTTTCATTCACAACAGGCTGAAAGGCAACGTGGTCTCACCAGAGCAAAGGATGGACCACACACACACACCACAGCCAAACACACACACTCTCTCTCCAAAGTTAATGTCTCAATGGCCACACACCCAGAGTTCTTAGGCACAAATGTGCAGTCATACAAAAAGCACATGGATTTACAAGTACCTGTAGTCTTAAGTCATTTGTACACACACACACCTTTCTCTCCAACACACACACACACACCGTGATTGGCCTGTCCACAGACAGCTCCATGAGGAGAAGCTAAAGAGAAGCTAGTGGTGTCACAGAAGAAGCTAAGCTAACATTTACAGAGCGGCTCTGGATGGAGCTGAAGAGAGAAAGGAGAGTTGTGCAATTGGCCTCTTCCTCTCAGCTGCTCTCACACACACATACAGAGACACACACACACGCACGCACGCACACTTCTCGTGAGTATACAAAAGTACTATCTCAACAAAAATAGACATAAATGGCCTCTTATGTTTCATACATCTTGGTAAGCGACAAAAACAAAAACGTTGTGCGACTCATAATAAACACACATCTGTCATATTTAACACACATGTCATATTTCACACACATCTGTCATATTAAACACACATCTGTCATATTAAACACACATCTGTCACGCGTCACATTCACAAAAGTCACTTCTCCACAAACCCTTTGATTCTGTTTTTGCTTTTTTTGTAGTTTTTGTAGTTTTTCTGAGTTTTTCTCATCTCTTTTGTAGCAAGTGCAAATCTTCAAGTTTTTATAATCCACTTTTTCAATAGCTTGACTTTTTATATAAACATAAAAAATGCTGAACAGGAAATATCAACAGTGTTTGTCTTTGAGAAGGATTTGCTCTGATAAAGTAAAGGTCCCACAGTCACTCACTGTGTCCCCTTCCAGACCCCCCCCCCCCCCCCCTCACACTCACACACATTTCAAATCCTGTCTCATTAAAGTGCTTAGTTTAGAGTAAGGTGCTTGTAGTTGGTGCCAGAGGATCCAGCAGTGCACATTCGTCATCAGGTTGTCTGATTAAAAGACAAAGAAGGCCTCAGGAAGCTATTGCTGCTGCTGCTCAGTACTCCTCCACCATCTCCAGGTCGCCCATGGACAGACAGTCCCCTGCAGTGTGGAATGAGTACCCTGTAGAGAGAGGCCGGGTTTACTGGACACGTATGGGTACATAAGGGGCCGTTTACACAGAGACAATGTGGCAGTAAAACGCTATAGTTGGATGTCTGTCTCTACCAACCGCTCATACGGAGACTGTGTTCCAGGGGGATGAAAACGTAATGGTGCTTTCAGACCGGATCATGCGTTGCGTCGGGTTTCAATGCAAAGTCTATGGTGACTCACGTTCGAGCGTCACAACGCACAGACCTCTCGGCACGCACGGACGGACTGTTCAGTAGAGACGTACGGACTTGGCGGGAAAGTCAAAGGGGAGGAGCAGGAGCGAAAAATCGACGCCCACAGGAGATGGATTCTGCTCATCCTTTCCTTGGGACGTTCGTGCGACAACCAATCAGAGAGCAGCAAAGTGGTCACGGGGACATTAGCGGACTGAGCGAGCAGACTGAAAATACTCGTAAACAGCCAAAACAGGACCCACACCAGGCTTCACCAGAACTCAAACCAGGGTTGACAATGGGGGACTCTGTGCTTGTGAATATATGCTTATGCAACTGCTTCGAGTGTGTTCGCCGATGCGGAAATACAGTTTAATAATATGAAAACACGTATGGCGCACCTCCGTGAACACATACTACCTGTTATATAAAGCCAGTGGAAGGTCTCTGTTCAAAGAAACGCTGCATATTGGAGAAGATCTGTACACAAGAAGCCGCTAGCTAATCTCTGTTAGCATCATAGCCTGCCGGCTACTTCCGGCACTTCCGGTGCGCGTCGGGACATCTCGGTGTGAAGACACCTGTGTCTGAAAACTAGAGAATGCGCGTCTGGTGAGCGGGGCTCAGCGTTTCAGCGTTCAGATACGCTGCTCAGCGGGGAGCTTTTTCACACCCGGGTGAGGGAAAAACGAGACCACGCGATGCTCTAGTTTCAGTTTCCATTTTCACAGCTGCTGTTAAAATGCAGAATGATGTTGGTGCATTCTTCCACGTCTCCCAGAGGAAGTGAGTATACTGCCGCGTGTGTGTGTTGTAAAGTTTCTCTGCCCACTACTGGCCGGGCACTAGAACTACATCGTTTTGAACCTCGTATGAAAGCTGTGAAATTTGCATTAGGAGCCTGGTCGTTTCTGTTAATAGCCTGGAAACGTCTGCGCAGCGTCTCAGTATAAACAGGGCCTAAGTCTCACTAGAGTACTGATGGTCGATAACATGGGCTTGTACTCGTACTCATACCATATGAGTCACAACAACAGACAGCAGTGCGGCACGTGTTGCCATGGTGATCTCCCAACGTGTGCAGCGAGCAGCTTAGCTTAGCTTAGCCGCTAGCTTAGCTTTGCCGCTAGCTTAGCTTTGCCGCTAGCTTAGCTTTGCCGCTAGCTTAGCAGCAAGCGGACAGTATGTCGTCCGTATGGCAGGTTTTTAAAGTAAACAAGTGACAAAAGTAAAGCGGATAGTACGGCATGAGCATAGGGACTGTACCTAAGATGCTGGGGTCCGAGTGCAGCATCAGGGGCTGTTTCTTCTTCATCTTCTGGTCATACACAGACTTGTGGCTTGACTGGAACATGGACTGCAGCGTGTTTGGGTTCAAGCCTCTCATCGATTCCTGCAACACACGTGTGACTTTCGTGTTACTGTGACTGTGATTGTGGTGTGACTGTGACTGCGTCTGTGTCTATGACTGTGACTCTGGTGTGACAGTGACTGTGTGTGTATGTGTGTGTGTGTGTGCGCTTGTGTTACCTGCAGAGGGAAGTTCAGCCCCGCCATTTCCTTTGATAACTGCAAGAACAACACAATAGTGTATCAAAGGCAGAGAATGTGTGGGTGTGTATATAGTTGTGTACCACTACCTACTGCCTCGGGTCGTGTGTATAGTTGTGTACCTGCTGCTGCTGCCTCTGCTGGTTGACTTTCTGTTTGGCACGTCGCTCCAGGAACTGTTTGGCAAACTCTTTGGCTTCCACTGTGTCCCCAAGATAAGACCGGATAAAGTCCAGCACTGCATACGGAGACTCCACCTCTTTAAGGTAGGCCACAATAGTGGCTACTGTGAAGAGAGAGGTTAGAGTGTTTGTGTGTGTCTGCATACGGAGACTCCACCTCTTTAAGGTAGGCCACGATAGTGGCTACTGTGAAGAGAGAGGTTAGAGTGTTTGTGTGTGTCTGCATACGGAGACTCCATCTCTTTAAGGTAGGCCACGATAGTGGCTACTGCAGAGAGAGAGTCTGTGTGTGTGTGTATGCGTGTGTGTGTGTGTGTGTTTGTGTGTGTCGTGGTACCATCTAGAGAAGAGCAGTTGTTTGCAGATGTGTTCAGAGCATGTAACATCTGTTCACACCATGTGGTGAATCCGTCCTGAGGCTTCATTCCCTGCAGCAGCTTCAGCAGCTTTTCCTCATCGTCTGTGCGCTTCCTACGCATCATGTACTGTTCACTGGGGACGCACAACAGGTCAGACACACACACAGCTCACTGGGGACGCACAACAGGTCAGACACACACCTGAGGGAAGGGCTGCTGCGGCTGTTCTTTAGGCCCATGTTGTTGGAGTTGGAGCGACTCTGGTTCTTCACAGCCTCGTCCCACATGCCCATACCCCCCCCTGAGCCCCCCCCAGAGCCACCACTCGCAGACTTCCCGTCCATGGACCCTGCACCGGTCCACATCCCCATGCCCTCGATCCACTGGTTTCCCATTGACGAGTTTCCCATTGACATTCCGGAATGCTGGACAGAGGAAAAAGACATCAATGACTTTAAAGAAGTGTCATGTTAGCATGTAGGGTGTTAGCCATGGATCTATAATAATAACTGGATAGGGTATTACTAGCTTAAAGCTGTCCCAACCATGGGCACAGGGGGCGCCCGTGGTACTGCAAACTAAATTCACGAGGGCTACCCAGAAAAAAGTCCCATAGATCTCAATGTAAATTAAAACAGCTCGACCTCCGCTGACAGAGAACCTACAGCTTTCAAAAATATCGGATTTTGAGGGGATTTTTGTGTCCCTTGTCACCCTGAATTTTTTTTCTTCTTAATCCTTCGGTTTTCTTTCAATCCACAATTTAAACTCTGCTCCTTTCCTTCCCGCTCTGGCTCCGCTCTGCTGCTGCTCTGATCAGCAGCTCTGATTGGTCAGAGCGCGGCCGAGCCCCTATGTGCACGTGCATGAAAGCCACACACGCGTATTTGGCGCAACGCATCATAGGAGCTCGTCCACTGCGCAGAGCCGGGAGGACCAGACGATGCCCAAATACAGGAGAGTTCTGCTAATCTCCCGGTCCCCGTAAAAGTCCCATGCGCAACTGAGCACAAGCCATTCATTTGAATAGGGCGCAATCTTGGATCACCGGGGCTTGGTGTTAGCACGTAGGGTGTTAGCATGTAGGGTGTACCTGTGAGCAGTACTTGGTGTGTGTACCTGTGAGCAGTACTTGGTGTGTGTACCTGTGAGCAGTACTTGGTGTGTGTACCTGTGAGCAGTACTTGGTGTGTGTACCTGTGAGCAGTACTTGGTGTGTGTACCTGTGAGCAGTACTTGGTGTGTGTACCTGTGAGCAATACTTACGCGGTCCCTTTGCTGTGCTCTCTGCTGCATCTCCAACAGTGTGAGAGCAGAGGGTTTAGACTTGGACAGACCAGAAGGGGGCGCTGATCCCCAACCACTGCTCTGAGGAGTCTGCTGCAGCAGCTTCAGGATCAGCTCCTGCTGCTGCCGACACTAGACACACACACACACACACACAGAGAGACACACACACACACACACACACAGAGACACGCACAGGTGGGGATTATTTAATATGCGTTTCACTCCTGCACTCTCTCACTCCTGTACTCTCTCACCTGCTTGCGTCTGAAGGCCTCCTCCTCCTCCCTTCTCTTCTGCTCCTCCTGTTGCCTCCTTTTCTCCTCTCTGCGTTTCCGCTGCTCTTCCTCCTCGCGCTTAGCCCTGAGTTCAGCCTCTCTCCTCTCCTGGAGCTGCACACACCACAGGGACCAGGTGAGACTTATATCATGTGTGAGGCCACAGGGACCAGGTGAGACTTATACAATGTGTGTGAGGCCACAGGGACCAGGTGAGACAGAAGACCATGTGTGAGGCCACAGGGATCAGGTGAGACTTATACCATGTGTGAGGCCACAGGGACCAGGTAAGACTTTTACCATGTGTGAGGCCACGGGGACCAGGTGAGACTAATACCATGTGTGAGGCCACAGGGACCAGGTGAGACAGAAGACCATGTGTGAAGCCACAGGGACCAGCTGAGACAGAAGACCATGTGTCCACAGGGACCAGGTGAGACGGAAGACCATGTGTGATTGAGGCCACAGGGACCAGGTGAGACAGAAGACCATGTGTCCACAGGGACCAGGTGAGACAGAAGACTATGTGTGAGACCACAGGGACCAGGTGAGACAGAATACCATGTGTCAACAGGGACCAGGTGAGACAGAAGACCATGTGGGGACAGGTCTGCACCAATACTCACTTTTTGAAGCTGTTCAAGAGTTGGACCCTGAGTCGAAGGATTCATTGTTATGTCCCAAAGACTGGCCTCACCGCCTGCAGGTCAGAGGACAGGGGTCAGAGAGGACAGAGGTCAGAGAGGAAAGAGGTCAGAGAGGACGGAGGTCACCTGAAGGCTGTGAAGCTGAGGTATGCATGTCCCACATGGACCCTGTGTCTGGCACCGACATCGACCTGTTCATCGAAGGCATCATACCATCACTGCATCTGAAACACACACACGTTTAGGAGAGAGGAGAGAGAGGAGAGTGAAAAAGAGAGAAGTGAGGAGAGGAGAGAAAGGAGAAAGAAGAGAGAGAGGGTGTCTGTGTCCGTGTCCGCGGGCATGGTGTCTGTGTTACCTGTTGATGAGCTGAAACAGTTGCTGCTGTTGCAGCTGCTGATAAAGAGCTGCTGCTGCTGCAATCTCCTGCTGCTTCTTCAGTCGATCCTGATCCACCTGAAGTCAACACACACTGACTGAACACACACTGTGACTAGTGTGACTCTCTCACACAGTAGTGTCTCTCTCACACAGTAGTGTCTCTCTCACACAGTAGTGTCTCTCTCACACAGTAGTGTGTCTCTCTCACACAGTAGTGTCTCTCTCACACAGTAGTGTCTCTCTCACACAGAAGTGTTTCTCTCACACAGAAGTGTTTCTCTCACACAGTTGACTGTCTCTCTCACAGAAGCGTGTCTCTCTCACAGAAGCGTGTGCAGATGTGAGTAAAACAGACTTAAGTCACACTCACGGTCCCAGCAGAGCTCCGGCTGGATTGAGAGCGCTGTGGTGGGGGAGGCTGTCTCACCAACAGTGGAGGGGGTGAGGGCCCAGGGGCAAAAGGTACGCGCCCCCACATCTTGATGACGTCACCCAGCGGCTGAAAGCCCTCGTCACAGCCGCGCTTCACCAGGAGAGTCATGGTGAAGTAACCAGCCTGGAACCACTCACACATCTCTATAGTGTTGAATGGGCCTGAGGGAGAGGGCTTGGATTATTAACAAAACATACTGTATGTCTAAGTCAGGGGTTAAAGCAAAAAAAAGATTTGACTGAAAATTTTCGCATGGAAATTTATCACATGTAAATCACAGTAATATGCAGGACCAAGTTATATTTGTAATTACAATATATTATTGTATAATAGATTGTATATTGAATACAGCTCAAATGAACTCTTCAAAGATATACAGTGTATTTTGATATGAAATATAAGTGGATCAAGCAACGAGTAAACTTTTTGACAGAATATTAGTGAGAGTAGCTTTACTTGAGGCGATATGGAGCGTCAACACTTTGGCTCTGTCCTCGTCAAAATATTGCAAAAGGACAATAAAATTCTGTCCACATTTGTTTGTGGACACGTCAATATTTAAAAAAAAGGTTTCCCTATCAAGTTTGAGTGCACAGTGCACTTCGATCAACTGCAAATGATTTAAATAAATCTACCAGCGGTAGTGATATTCTGAACGTTATTTTCTGCGATAAAGCCACAGACACGGTCTGCCATAGCAAGCCTAGTGTTAGTTGTTGCTGATGCACCAGGTAAAGATGAAGTGTGGGAAAGTGCACAAACAGCTGCCTTGTGCGCAGTTTTGAGCTGGTGGCGAATCAAAACTTTTTTCTCATTACTCCCATATATGCAATTTTTTATGGCAAAGTACGCACAAGCACCGGCCACTTTCATCTTTTCGCACCATGACTCATTGATTGGCTCTTTTACATCACGCTGAGTTTTGCAAGAAGATCGCAAACAAGACAATATCAAAAGCTCACCAAGACATGTTTGTCCCCATTCCCAGTTGCAGCAAAGTCCGTTTTGTACATTCCGTTAAGTAAAATAGCATTGCGTTTGGTAAACGTTAATTACCTTTCGTCTATTACGCGCCCAGCTTACCAGTCCGCGGATCTGCTGCTGTTATTGCTCCGTTCGAGATTCAATTTTCCTCCTCTTCTCCTTTTCAAAAGCTCCGTGCAGTTTCCAGAAACTTTCACCTCCGTGTTACCAATGCTAACTTAATCGCGTCTTCATTTGCGCGTGAGCTCAGCTACGTCCCATTGCCTTGATTCATTTGCGGAGCGCTCATGTGGCCACGGCACGTTCAAGGCCCACTCGTGATTATATTACTTATTATTTCTATATACATATAAATACAATTATATTCAAATTATTATTATACATCGATATATATATATATATATATATATATAACAGATTCACACGTATATGTATTACTATATATTATTTTTATAATCAATCATTTTATTGTGTGTATTATTATCATTATATATATATATTTTTTTTTTTTCCAGACCAATTTCATTTGACGGAAATCCGTCACCTAGACGGAACTCTTTAATCCCTGGTCTAAGTCTGCACTAAAGAGAGACCAGAGAGAGACCAGAGAGAGAGAGAGCGAAACCAGAGAGAGACCAAAGTGACCAGAGAAAGTGAGGCCAGAAAGACAAAAAGGGAAATGAGAGGTTAAATAACCTTATCCACAATTAGCACAAAATAGTCCATGCCGTAATAGATGTCAAAGGGAAAGACTTTTCTATACTTTGGCAAAGCAACCTCTGAGGCTCATGCATCCTGCAGCAGAGGACTCACCCTGGATCTCCCCCTGTGGGTCCTTGTAGAACCACTTCATGGCAGCTTCATGGGACAGGGGCAGAGCTGAGGCTGTGTTACGACTCTCCTGCTGTAGTGCCTGAGTGAAGCACTCCTCCTCCAGGGACGTGTCCTGCAAAGAGGCCACCATCTTCTCTGCCTCCTGTGGAAGGATTAGACAGGTTACAATACGGGAATGTGGACAGAGAGAGAGAGAGAGAGAGAGAGAGTGTCCTAGGTCAACAGCCTCAGTCTCTCTCCCTATGGACCAATGTTTGTTATTATTGCATTTCCTGTGTTCTGTTTGATTTCAAGTAAGTAAGTAATGTTTATTAATATATACCGTCTTTCACAGACCAGTGTCAAAGCGGTATACAATTGTTACATTAGCCCCTGGACTGCCACCTTAACGTGGTGGGGGAGTTTGAGTACTCGGATGATCCTGGGAGCTATGCTGTCTGGGGCTTCATTCCCCTGGTAGGATCTCCCACGGCAGACAGATCTCGGGTGACGAGTCAGACGAAGAGCAGTCCGAAGCAAACATGGACAGCAGGAATATAAGAACAGTGACGTCGCCCGGCATGGCTCAGCCGGGGCCCCACCCTGGAGCCAGGCCTGGGGTCGGGGCTCGTATGCGAGCGCCTTGTGGCCGGGCCTTAGCCCGAAGGGGTGCCGTGGGCAGTCCCTCCTGTGGGCCCACCACCTGCAGAGGGGTCCGTGGTGGCGAAACGGTGCTGAGAGGACTGGGCAGCAGTCGAAGGCGGAGACCTCGGCGACCCAGTCCGCATGCAGAACATCTGGCTCTTGGAACGTCACCTCACTGGGGGGGGGGGGGGGGGGGGGGAGCCCGAGCTCGTGGGGGAGGTTGAGCGATACCGACTAGAGATAGTCGGCCTCACCTCCACACACAGCTTGGGCTCTGGAACCCAACTCCTTGAGAGGGGTTGGACGCTCCACTTTTCTGGTGTTGCTTGCGGGGAGAGGCGGCGAGCTGGGGTGGCCATACTCATTGCCCCCCACCTCAGCCGCCACGTGTTGGAGTTCTCCCCGGTGAATGAGAGGGTCGCGTCCCTCCGCCTTCGGATGGGGGACAAGTCTCTCACTGTAGTGACGGCCTACGGGCCTACACAGTGCAGAGTACTCTGCCTTCTTGGAGTCCTTGGGAGGGGTGCTGGACGGTGCACCGACCGGGGACTTCTCCTGGGGGACTTAAACGCCCATGTGGGAAATGCCAGTGACACTTGGAGAGGGGTGATCAGGAAGAACGGCCCCCCGGATCTGAACCCGAGCGGTGTTCAGTTGTTGGACAAACTGTGACTAGCACAGAAGTCTATCACAAACACCATGTTCGAGCACAAGGGTGTCCTGGTGCCACGTGCACTGGTGAACACCCTTGTGGTCGATGATTGACTTGGTTGTCGTATCATCTGACCTTCGACCGCGTGTCTCGGACACTCGGGTGAAGAGAGGGGCGGAGCTGTCAACCGAACTCACGACCACCACCTGGTCGTGAGTTGGATCCGCTGGCAGGGGAGGAAGCCGGTCAGACCTGGCAGACCCAAGCGTGTAGTGAGGGTCTGCTGGGAACGTTTCACTGAGCCCCCTGTCAGACAGACTTTCAACTCACACCTCCGGGAGAGTTTCTCCCAGGTCCCGCCGGAGGAGGAGGATATCGAGTCTGAGTGGACCATGCTCTCTTCCTCTATCGCCGATGCGGCGGCCCGTAGCTGTGGTCGCAAGGTCTCTGGTGCTGGTCCCGGCGGTAACCCCCGAACCCGGTGGTGGACACCGGCAGTAAGGGATGCCGTCAGGCTGAAGAAGGAGTTCTATCGAGCCATGATGGTTCAGGGGACTCCTGAGGCAGCTGTCCAGTACCGGCAGGCCAAGCTTGCCGCGGCCCGGGCTGTTGCAGAGGCAAAAACCCAGGACTGGGAGGAGTTCGGAGAGTCCGTGGAGCATGACTAACGGTCGGCCTCAAAGAGATTCTGGCAAACCGTCCGGCGCCTCAGGAGGGGGAAGCAGTGCTTTGCCAACACCGTGTCTGGTGCTGGTGGAGAGCTGCTGACCTCGACTGGGGATATTGTCGGGCGGTGGAAGGAATACTTGGAGGTTCTCCTCAATCCGCCCGTCACGTCCTCCGTCCTGGAGGCAGAGGCTGAGGATGTTGGGGCGGATACTTCCATCTCCCTGGCTGAAGTCACCAAGGTGGTTGGCAGCCTCCTTGGTGACAAGGCGCCGGGAGTGGATGAGATCCGTCCTGACTATCTAAAGTCTCTGGATGTTGTGGGACTGTCTTGGCTGACACGTCTCTGCAACATCGCGTGGCGATCGGGGGCTGTGCCAAAGGAGTGGCAGACCGGGGTGGTGGTGTCTCTCTACCAGAAGGGGGACCGGAGGGTGTGTTCCAATTATCGTGGGATCACACTCCTCAGCCTCCCTGGTAAGGTTTACTCCAAGGTACTGGAGAGGAGGCTACGGCCGATGGTTGAATCTCGGATTCAGGAGGAGCAGTGTGGTTTTCGTCCTGGGCGTGGAACACTGGACCAGCTCTTTACTCTCTCCATCGGGGGGGGGGGGGGGGGGGGGCGCACAGACCTATTGTACATGTTTTTAGTGGTAGGGGAAACCGGAGCACCCAGAGGAAACCTACACAGACACTAGGAGAACATGCAAACGCCACTCAGAAAGGCACTGTTCCGACCGGGATTCGAACCCAGGACCTTCTTGCTGAGAAGCGAGAGTGATAGCCACCCGCCCATTTTCTGATCTATTGTTGGCGAATCAGTCCTAAAGTCCTCCCAGACGACCGCTGTTGTGATTTAGGGCGAGACACGAATGATTAGGGATGTCAAAAGTATAAAATATTACTAATAAACCTAGTATTGAAGCGTGATACTGATTTCCATACTAATACTAATGACATAAACAAGACATTATCCTTGATCTTCTGTATCTCTACCTGCTGCAGATGCTTCATGCCTTCGTCGTCCTCCGGGTCTCCTCCTCCCGTGTGGGGCAGAGGAGGTGCAGAGGAGGTTGGAGGAGGGGGCAGGGGGTTTGATGAGAGATGACCTTTGGGGTCGGCCATCAGAGACACATCTGCAACACAGAGGCCTCAGTCGTTATTAATGTACTGAGAACATTCCACTATAGAGTCTACATTCTCGCTGAAAAAACACTGGGATTACCCATTGGTCACAGGCTGTATATGTGGGAGAGAGGGAGAGGAGGAGAGGAGGAGAGAAGGAGAGAGGGAGGCCAGAGAGAGGCCAGAGAGAAGGAGAGGAGACGAGAGGGAGACCAGAGAGAGGCCAGAGAGAGGCCAGAGAGAGGCCAGAGAGAGAGAGAGATGGAGATGGAGAGAAGGAGACCAGAGAGAGAGAGATGGAGAGAAGGAGACCAGAGAGAGGGAGGCCAGAGAGAGGGAGAGAAGGAGAGGGAGAGAAGGAGACCAGAGAGAAGGAGGGAGGGAGACCAGAGAGAGTGAGGCCAGAGTGAGGGAGAGAGGGAGCGAAGGAGACCAGAGAGAAGGAGAGGAGACCAGAGAGAGGGAGAGATGGAGACCAGAGAGAGGGGGAGAAGGAGACCAGACAGAGGGAGACCAGAGAGGGAGAGAGGGAGAGGAGGAGAGAAGGAGACCAGAGAGAGGGAGAGGAGACGGGAGAGAAGGAGACCAGACAGAAGGAGAGAAGTAGAGGAGAGAAGTAGAAGGAGACCAGAGAGAAGGAGAAAGGAAGAGAATGAGACCAGAGAAGGAGAACAGATAGAGGGCGACGAGAGAGAGGGAGAAGAGAGAGAGGGAGAACAGAGAGAGGGAGAAGAGAGAGAGGGAGAAGAGAGGGAGACCAGAGAGAGGGAGACCAGAGAGAGGGAGAGAGAAGAGAGAGGGAGACCAGAGAGAGGGAGAGAAGGAGACCAGAGAGAGGGAGAGAAGGAGACCAGAGAGAGGGAGGCCAGAGTGAGGGAGAGAGGGAGCGAAGGAGACCAGAGAGAAGGAGAGAAGAAGACCAGAGAGAGGGAGAGAGAAGAGAGGGAGACCAGAGAGAGGGAGAGAGAAGAGAGGGAGACCAGAGAGAGGGAGACCAGAAAGAGGGAGAACAGAGAGAGGGAGAACAGAGAGAGGGAGACCAGAGAGAGGGAGAACAGAGAGAGGGAGAACAGAGAGAGGGAGAGAGAAGATAGAGGGTAAGGGACACCAGAGAGAGAGAGAGAGAGAGACCAGAGAAACCAGAAAGAAACCAGAGCCAGATACTGACTGGACCCGACCTGGAGGATTATACCTATTGTACATGCTTTTTTAGAGGTAGGGGAAACCTACCCAGACACGGGAAGAACATACAAACTGCAAAGGCCTTGTTCCGACCAGGCTTAGAACCCAGGACCTTCTTGCTGAGAAGCGAGAGTACACAGTGCTCTCACCTTGGTCTGTGCCGCTCGGCTTCATACAGAGGCCATTGTCCATCCCAGGGGCCCCCCCACTGGGTTGAGGCTCCTGCAGCAGAGGGCTGAGGCGAGGGGGAGACACCGGGGGAGACGCTGCCTTCTCTACACCATTCAGGGCTGCTTTGCTCCGCTCTGCAGAGAGGGGGGAGAGAGGGGAGTGAGCCGAAAGGGGGGAGTGAGCCGAGAGGGGGAGAGAGGGGAGTGAGCCGAGAGGGGGGACAGAGGGGAGAGAGCCGAGAGGGGGGACAGAGGGGAGAGAGCCGAGAGGGTGGAGAGTGAGAGGAGAGAGAGAGGGGAGAGGGGAGAGAGAGAGAAAAGAGGAGAGAGAGGAGAGAAGGGAGAGGGGAGAGAGGAGAGAGAGAGAGAAGTGAGAGAGAGGAGAGAGGGGAGAGGAGAGGGGAGAGAGGAGAGGGGAGAGAGGAGCGAGAGAGAGGAGTGAGAGAGAGAGGAGGAGACAGGGAGAGGAGAGGGAAGAGAGGAGAGAGAAGAGAGATGAGAGGAGAGGGAAGAGAGGAGAGATGAGAGAGAGGAGAGGAGAAAGGAGTTGCAGATAAAGGACCTGAGGCTTCACTGCTCTTCTCCAGCTCCTCAAAGCCTTCCTCCAGCTCCTCGTCTTCTTCGATTCCTTTGAATTCCAGCTCTTCCTCCAGGATGGAATCTTTTCCGCATTTCTGAGGAGACACAGGACAGTGTGAGATCACATCCCTGAGACACAGGACAGTGTGAGATCACATATGTGTGTGTGTGTGTGTGTGTATACATATATGTATGTGTGTATATATAAATATACAGATATATATAGAACGGACTCTCAAACCTTGAAATCGTGTTTTCATTGGGATATAGAAAGATGGCGCCGGGGTGTCTGGTTCGCCGCTTGACTCTGCTCTGTTTGATCAGCTTTATATTGTTTTAACACATTTCACAAGGACGATAGACTCACTGATTGTGTACAATCGCCATGAGCTGCTAACTATAGGATTAAGTGTGAATACCTGCACGATTCATGATGCAAACCAGTCTGAGTCATTCTACCCAGCGGATTTGCCCGACTGTCTCCGGTGCGTGAATGCACCCCTGCCGAGGAAGCGTAAAAGCCGCCATGGAGTGCGAGCCGGCTGGCTTGTAAAGCTAAAGGCCTGGCTGGCGTTTTCTCCGGGCTCCACAAAGTCCCATTCAGTCCCAGTCCAGGAGATAATAAATAGGAGTCTGTGTTCTGGGGTTACCTATTACCTATTTTTTTAGCCTCGCCTAAAATTTTCAATTTCTAAAGGCCCTAAAAAAGGCATACTTCATTGTAAGTTCACAATATTCAAACCCTATGTTCATTCTGTTGTTGACAATAACTGTCTAAATTTTATAGTTTTTAGGCAGTTTCTCCTTTTCATTAAGTAGTGCACATTTGGCACAATTGTGCCAAATTGCTTTACTGACATTTAATCATCATAAAAACTATTCTTATTATTGGTACTTATAAGTTACTAATCTATGGGCGTTTTTTTATGTCAAAGTTAATTTTTTATTATTGTAAATTCATTGCAGCTTCAAGAGCGTCTTTTGACTGCCATTACGCACAATTCTACAGGCACAAAAAAAGACAGGACACCATTGCCCCACCCCTTGCTCAAAAGCTTTCCTCATTGGCTACACGGACATATCAAACGGCCAGGAAATAGATGCAAAGAAGTAGGGAAGACAACAAAGATCAGTGACCCATGCGCAAACAGCAGCCGCTAGCTGTACTCACGGGAACTGTTGCAGAATCAAAAATGCTCCTAGCTCTTCGGGAATAGTCTCATTTGAAAGATAAGGAGCTAGGGAACACGTGGATATCAGTTGTTTCTGTGAAAAACAAAGCTAAAAGTCCGTTAAAAATGAAAGAGCAACATCTGTGCTCTTTTTTTTCCCCCGTTTTTTTTGCTAAAGATAAATGCACATTTTTGGATTATTTCTGCAGAATGGATTATACTTTGAGAAATACAAGTGGATATTATTTTCCTATGGACTGTTCCAGAGAGAAAGATGTATTGCAATCTCACACTATTCAGTCTCCAGCTTGGATCCCCTACCCCCGCCTCCCTCTCTATCCATCTTGCTCCCTCCCTCCCCTTCACTCCTCACCGTGTTTCCGACTCACCCCCCTCCCTGACCCCGCCCCCCTCCGACAGCCACATTGGGCGGCTGTAGAAGGTGCTTCATCCCGAGAAAAAATCCGTGCTTTATACAAGGCACAAATGTGTCTATCCAACTGTCTGTGATACTGTATGTTATTGCTCTCTGCTGTTTATTCTACTGTTTGTCGCATGGCGCCGTAAAGATGGCGCCGTGGCAAGAGCTCTGGTGTGTGTCGTCTCCTCTGTCTGGTGCACACCGGGGTAGTCTTGCAGTTTTTCCAATGTGGTTTTACTGCAAATGGCAAATAAATGAATCTGAATCTGAAGCTTTTTTTTAAAAGTGATTTGTTTTGTGCCCATATTGTGTGTTATATGTTTTGAATGCAAAGTCTGATGTAGTTTACACTTGTATATAAATGTAAATAAGAAAATAAGCTTTAAAATGACATACAGCTTTTGGGGTTTGGTGTTCAAAATGCATCTGCTATTACCAGCAGAACATTTAAAAAATAAAAACAGCTCGCCGGCGCGCCAGTGGATGTAAAGAGGTTAAAGGTTTTTAAAACAACCTGTTTTTATTGGCAGATTCTGGAAATTCTGCGGTTTGAGTGCTTTTAGACTTGACGCTGCGTTTGACACTGTGGACCATGCAACTTTTAAATCATCTTAAATACGGTGTGGGTGTCAGGGGGACCGCCCTGGACTGGTTTAGGTCATACCTGTCAGGGCGGTCCTTCACTGTCAGGCTGGGGGACTCCACCTGCACCGCCCCTTTGCACTGTGGAGTTCCCCAGGGCTAAATTCTTGGCCCTTTGCTTTTTGCCCTGTACCTCCTCCCACTTAGTGACATTTAAAAAAAACATGGCATGTCTTATCATTTTTACGCTGACGATTGTCAGATTTACATGCCATTGATAAAAGATGATCACAGCCCCGACACCCCTCAACTAAGTGACGCCAAGGATTGGTTGACCCAAAACTTAAACTAAATGAAAGTAAGACGGAGGTCATTTTATTTGGCCCTAGCGCCCCCCTCATTGACTTGGGGCCCTTAAAAGACCATGTGCGCCCCACAGTCACCAACCTTGGCGTCATCTTAGACAGTGATTTTAAACTTGATAAGCAGATTAATCGCGTTTTAAAATCAAGCTTTTATAATTTGCGACTTAATCTTTTTGAGCAGGTCATGCACTCTTTTATTTCTTCACGCCTGGACTATTGCAATGCACTTTATGTGGGCATCCCCCAAAACGCACTTTCTCGGCTGCAGTTGGTCCAAAACTCAGCGGCACGACCTTCAACAGGAATCAGAAGGCTTCCTGTTCATTATAGAATCAATTTTAAGATTGGACAAACACTATTCCTGCGGAGATTCTACGGAAAACACCGAGAGGCTGCCGTGAGAGATGGAAGCTACGAGGGAGAAAGAGATCCAGACCCGCGGTACCTGCCGTGATCACCGGGAATGTGAGGTCTCTCTCCAATAAGACTGAGTACGTGGCACGAACGCGCTACCAGCGGGAGTACCGCAACGCCAGCTTCCAGGTATTTACAGAAACATGGCTACACACAGACATCCCGGACTCTGCAGTTGCTCTGGATGGATTCCACACCGTCAGAGGTAATAACTAGCTACAACAGCACCATCTGCTGGTGTACTGCTAGAACAACCACATTACACTTACGAATCTTTTTGACACACGCTTGGCGGCAGAGTTGTGTCAAAAAGAGATTCGTGTGTAAAACAGAGCCTGTGCGTAGCACTTAGGCTTTTTTCCGTTCTTCTCTTTGTACAACGTGGTTATTTACACACAGATTGTTCTGTTACAGATACAAATGTCAAATTACACACACACAAATCTGTTTACGCACGCACACAGTCCAAGTTACACTTGCGAATCTGTGAAGGCAGGACTGCGTCTAAAGATTTGTGTGTAAAAAAAACAGCTTGTGTGTAAAACGTACTTTTTTTTTTTACAGACACACAAATTTCTACGCACACACAAATCTTTTTACACACACACACAAATCTTGCTACGTACATACAAATCTATTTACACACGCACAAATATTTCATTTACGTACATACAAATCTGGTTACGCACACACAAATCTGGTTACGCGCGCACAAATCTTTTTACGCGCGCACAAATATTATTGAAACAATAATAGCTCCATAGTTGAGGCCCTTTGAGATTCTTTGAAAAAACCCTCTGGGACGAGCACTGCAACCCCCATGGTCAGGACATTAATGGCTTGACGGAGTGCATTACAGGATACATAAACTGCTTCGAGAACACTTCGGTGACCGGGAAAATGCGGTGTTTTGCCAACAACAAGCCGTGGATTAATTCCGACATAAAGGCTCTGCTGAAGGCAAAGAAACGCGCTTTTTCAATCTGGGAACAAAGAGGAGCTGAGAGACGTACAGAGACATCTGAGATCAGTGAGAGAGGCCAAAGCGCGATACAGGGGCAAAAGAGCAGCTAAGCCGACAGAACATCAAAGGTGTTTGGGACAATCTGAAGGCCATCTCAGGATTTAAACTAAAACCTGTTCCGCAGGTGGGGGACAGAAAATGGGTTAATGACTTGAACACTTTTGACCAGCGGTTCAAACAACAACCCACCCCACCCCCTGCTATGCTGCTGCCCACCCCTGTTGGAGACAAATGCCCCCCAGACACGGTCATTAACACTATGGCCCACGCCTCTCAGCTCTCTCCCACCACCAGCCCGCAGCCCCAACCTCCACCCCTCTCCTTCAGGATTCTGTTCTTCGACTTCTCCAGTGCCTTCAACACCATCCAGCCGCAGGGACAAGCTGGAGACAGCTGGAGTGGACTACGACCTGTCTGAGTGGTTCCTGGACTACAACACAGACAGACCCCAGTTTGTGAGAACCAGGGACTTTGTGTCTGAGGCTGGGACCTGCAGTGTGGGGGTCCCCCAGGGGACAGTCCTCGCGCCGTTCCTCTTCACCCTCTACACTGCGGACTTCAGGCACAACACGGACGGTTGTGTCCTCCAGAAGTTCTCAGCTCCGAGGACGATGACACAGAGTACAGAGGAGTTATACAAGACTTTATGGACTGGTGTCAGAGGAACCACCTCCTCATCAACGCAGGGAAGACCAAGGAGACGAAACACCTCCTCATCAAAGAGGGGAAGACCAAGGAGATGAAACACCTCCTCATCACAGAGGGGAAGACCAAGGAGATGAAACACCTCCTCATCAAAGAGGGAAGACCAAGGAGATGGTGGTGGATTTCCGCAGACGTCACTCTGCCGCTCCAGCCCCAGTGAACATCCAGGGAAAGGACATTGAGAGAGTGGACTCTTACTAGCAATGCAAGACTCAGTGGAAACGCTGTGGTGAAAAGAGGTCGCTGTCTTACTCACTTTAGTTCATTTGAATCTGAGCAGCTAAATAATCAGAATATATAGCTACCACCACTATCAATAAACATATTTTAATTCATAGAATCCATAAATGTGTGTATTGTTCTGATATTCCGTTTATTTCCTGAGATATGAATTAATAAAGTTGACAAATATGAGGCAGAGTGGGCCACAGATAGTCGGGATATCCTCGGAATTCCGCGCGGGTTAATGACGTCGCCGCGAGGTGATATTAAGCAGATAAACAGATCACTTATTACTGCGCATTACGGTGAAAGCGGCATCTCTCCAGCTGTTGCGGTTACGGAGATATAATCCGACGAACTTAATAGCAAAATACACGGTAAGTAACCGGGATTTTGGAATACCAACACCACACACATACATCTAAGATTATAAGCTTTAGAATTATGGTATATTTGAATCATGTCACGGTTGTTTTGACCCGCGGATCAGTGAATAAAGTTGAAAAACCGCCGCGCTCATCACACACTCGGCTCTGCTGCCGAAGCGGCAGGCAAGTCCGGGCGAGTCCACTTTTCAGGGGGGTAGAAACGCGAGTCACGTGGCCCAAACGGACCAATGCCATTGGTTGGACTAATCCATTGTACATGTTAACAAGGGTGTTTGGGTTGTTAATATGTTTAAAGCTCGGGTCTGTAACTTTAGGCTATATCCACACGAAGACAAAACGCTTATAATTTCAGAAACTTTTTCTGTAAACACGGAGTTAGCTCAGTAAATGTGTGCGTCCATATGAATGTAGTCAATACGCCTGAAAACGCTGTGAAACTATGCCAGACCTGTTGGTGGCGCTGTGACGCAATGACGGGATCAAGCCCAAACTTCCGTGGGCATGCGCGGAATTTTGTAAACAGACAACATGGCGAGTGGGCGAGCTGGTACTACATTAGTATGGACGGACGATGAGGTTGAACTGTTGCTTCGGGTCACACTGGATTACAAAACCAACAAGCTACATTGTTGTTGTCATTATTTTCTGAGTGCGGCGCATGCGTTCTTTGACAAGAGGCGGGGCGATGACGCAAGCGTCTCAGATACATTGCGGAGAGGCAGTAACCACGGAGCGGCATATACGGAGTTTTGAAATCTTTCCACTCTGGGACCTAGTTTCAAAAATGTTCGTTTACACCCCCCCAAAACGCCGGCCTCGTATGGACGATACACTGGATTGATAAAGTATTTTTGCGTTTAGGCCTGAGCTTGACTTCGTGTGGACAGGGCCTTAGTCTCATAAATAACATGCTTAAAGCTGAGGTCTGTAACTTTAGTCTCATTAATAACATGTTTAAAGCTCGGGTCTGTAACTTTAGTCTCATAAATAACACGTGTGTGTGTGTGCATATGCCAAAAACATTTCTAAGCATCATATTTAGATTGCTCCATCAATTACCTTCATTTTGATATATTACATAGTAGTTTGAAAAAAATGTTTTCCGGATTTCCTGTTGGCAGCCATCTTGGATAAGCTGGCGGCCATATTGGAATCGGGGTCGGCCAAATTGTAAAATGAATATCGAATACAACATCCCTGAATTGTTTCCTTCTTTACTGTGAATTTTAATGTTTATAGTTAGTAAAATAGGGAAGTTACAGCACTTAGAAGATGAATAAAGGCTTGAACTGGCTGAATAGAAGGTTCCACAGTATCCCTTTGTTTTAAACCAAATTACTTTCACTATAAGCGCCTAAAAGCACTTATCAATATGGTAATAAAATCATAGCCACTTATCCGATTTTCATAATTCAAAAACTGTTTTATTCCTCTTACTGAGCTGGAAAATACTGTGCTGAATTAAATCTGATTTGGTCATTTAAAAAATGTAATCTTGCATTGCTACTCTTACAAGTACCTGGGTGTTCATCTGAACCACAAACTGGACTGGACTCATAACACAAATGCCCTCTTTTCAAGAAGGGCCAGAGCCGACTCTTTTGGAGTGCAGTGGCCACTCCTGAAGACCTTCTATGACTCTGTGGTGGCATCAGCCATCTTGTACGGTGTGGACTGCTGGAGCAGCAGCATCACAGAGAGGGAAGAAGCTGGACAAGGTCATCAGGAAGTCCAGCTCAGTTCTGGGCTGTTCCCTGGACACAGTGCACCAGGTGGGGGACAGGAGGGTCCTGGACAAACTAACATCTGGACCATGACTGTCACCCCCTGCAAGGACCCTCCGTCTGCTCTGGAGAGCAGCTTCAGTGACAGACTTATTCATCCTCAATGCGTGAAGGAGAGGTTCCCTAGGTCTTTCCTTCCTGCTGCTGTCAGACTGTACAACAAACAATAAGGACTAATGAACACTGCCAACCAGATCCCATGTGTCATGCATCACTGCAATATCCTTAACTTATATTAGAATGTGCAATATACTGCTGCTAATGTACAGATGTAAACATACTGCTGCCAACATGTACAGATGTAAACATACTGCTGCCAACATGTACAGATGTAAACATACTGCTGCCAACATGTACAGATGTAAACACACTGCTGCCAATGTACAGATGTAAACACTGCTGCTAATGAACAGATGTAAACATAACTACACTTTGCTTGCACTATAATACACAGTACTTTATACTTGACTTATTTTGCCAAATGTAAAACGTTTGCACTTCTTTTATTATCACTATCAAGATAGATTTTGTATTTGTTATTTGATGATAGAGTGAGAGATTTTATTTTATTTTAAGTAGTACAGCTATTATTCACTGGACTTGTGCTGTGTGCTCCTCTTTCCTACTGTTCTATAACTTGTGATGCAACACTGAAATTTCCCCACTGTGGGACGAATAAAGGATCTCTTAATCTTAATGTGTGTATGTGTGTGTATCTATATGTATGTATTTGTGTATATACAGTGGGGCAAAAAAGTATTTAGTCAGCCACCGATTGTGCAAGTTCTCCCACTTAAAATAATGATAGGTCTGTAATTTTCATCATCGGTACACTTCAACTGTGAGAGACAGAATGTGAAAAAAAATCCAGGAATTCACATTGTAGGATTTTTAAAGAAAATATTTGTAAATTATGGTGGAAAATAAGTATTTAGTCAATAACAAAAATTCAACTCAATACTCTGTAATATAACCTTTGTTGGCAATAACAGAGGTCAAACGATTACTATAGGTGCAAAGGAAGGTCTCACCCATCATCTGTACTTCTTAGCAAGTTTTCCCGAAGTACAGATGAAGTACAAATGATGGGTGAGAAACCTTCCTTTGCATTGACTAATCCCTGTACGACTGAGGGCTTACACAAACTTATCGTTGATTACTATAGGTCTTTACCAGGTTTGCAGACACAGCAGCTGGTATTATGGCCCATTCCTCCATGCAGATCTTCTCGAGAGCAGTGAACACAGACTTTCAACTCCCTCCACAGATTTTCAAAGGGGTCGAGGTCTGGAGACTGGCTAGGCCACTCCAGGACTTTCAAATGCTTCTTACGGAGCCACTCCTTCGTTGCCCGGGCGGTGTGTTTGGGATCATTTTCATCCTGGAAGACCCAGCCATGTTTCATCTTCAAAGCTCTCACTGATGGAAGGAGGTTTTGGCTCAAAATGTCACGATACATGGCCCCATTCATTCTTTCCTTAACACGGATCAGTCGTCCTGTCCCCTTAGCAGAAAAACAGCCCCAAAGCATGACGTTTCCAACCCCCATGCTTCACAGTAGGTATGGTGTTCTTGGGATGCAACTCAGTATTCTTCTTCCTCCAAACACGACGAGTTGAGTTTATACCAAACAGTTCTACTTTGGTTTCATCTGACCACATGACATTCTCCCAATCCTCTGCTGTGTCATCCATGTGCTCTCTGGCAAACTTCAGGCGGGCCTGGACATGCACTGGCTTCAGCAGGGGGACACGTCTGGCACTGCAGGATTTGATTCCCTGTCGTCGTAGTGTGTTACTGATGGTAACCTTTGTTACTTTGGTCCCAGCTCTCTGCAGGTCATTCACCAGGTCCCCCCGTGTGGTTCTGGGATTTTTGATCACCGTTCTCATGATCATTTTGACCCCACGGGATGAGATCTTGCGTGGAGCCCCAGATCTAGGGAGATTATCAGTGGTCTGCATATGTGGCTCGTGCGGCGTGAGAGTCGTCCCGGAGTTTATAATACATGGGCGCACACAGGTAGATACAGACCTGCTCGTCACACCGTGCAAATAGGGCTTAAAATAGCGTTTTTAAGAGACCTCCCCTCTCCCCTTTTTCTCTTTTTTTAACCGACAGCTTTGACCGGTTAACGCTGTGACGGTCAACCACCGGTTAAACGGTCGCCGATTTACATCCCTAATTGCATCACATATGTATGTATATGTGTGTATGTGTGCACGTGTGTGCATATGTGTGTATATATATGTGTGTATATGTGTGTACACACCTTCATGACCATGAATGCTCCAGAAGAGTCAAACGTCCCCATCTCTCCGTCCTCTTCATCCGTGCACCACTCAGGGAGACCGTCACCATCGTCAGGGCCGTCGCTACCCGCTCGCCGTCGACCTCCGTGACCTTCATGGAAGTCAAAGTCAAACTTCCTCCTGCGCCCGTCTCCAGGACCAGAGTGATCCCGCCATCCCGCTGAGCGAGGAGCGCCATCTGACGGAGGAAGGACAGGACTTCAACACCCAGGCCTGGGTCTACGGCCTCAGGCCTGGGTCTACGGCCTCAGGCCTGGGTCTACGGCCTCAGGCCTGGGTCTACGGCCTCAGGCCTGGGTCTACGGCCTCAGGCCTGGGTCTACGGCCTCAGGCCTGGGTCTACGGCCTCAGGCCTGGGTCTACGGCCTCAGGCCTGGGTCTACGGCCTCAGGCCTGGGTCTACGGCCTCAGGCCTGGGTCTACAGCTGTTGTGATTTAGGACGAGACACAAATGCAAAAGGACAATGTGCTCGCGGGATTCTCACGGTAATGCACTAAACCAGACTACATTCACGTGGGCTACACAGACATTTTCCCCACAGAACTCAATGTAAACTAAAACAGCTCGACCTCAGCTGACAGAGAACCTGACAGAGAACCCGACAGAAAACCTACAGCTTTCATAAAGGAGGATTCTGTGGACGTGTCTCTTGTCTTCCTGAACTTATTACTTCTTAAATCCTTCGGTTTTCTTTAAATCCACTTTACTGCAACAAACTCTGCTAGTTTGGCTCCTGCTCCAACTCCCGCTCTACGGCTGCTCTGATCAGCTCTGATTGGTAGGAACGCTGCCCTGATTGGTTTACAAACAATGCCCAAATATGGGAGAGTTCTGCTAATCTCTCGGCACCAGTGGGGGCGGGTCCCGGCTCAAATGTGGCCAAAACGACGTGCGCTGACATGCTTGCAATACCACCCCGGGCCGATGGGGGTGGACCCGGAATGAGAATTAGCCAATGCTAACATATAGCATCTTCTTACCTCTCGAAAACATCTTTACAGGATGGTCCAAAAGTTGGCTCTTGGCCCAAAGCTCTTTTCCACATGTGTGTCAATGCATAAGGGAGTGAATTTTTTTGGACCACTCTGGTTTAGTTGCTGTGAAGGCACTCGTTTAAATGAATGGAGCTTGCGCTGGCTGACTCATGCGCAGATGCGTTTTTTCACAATTTTCTTGTGGGCGGGACCACTCGCTGCCATTTTGGATAGCTCCAGTAGAGCACAATTTTTGGCCCATTAGTTTGAACGGCGGAGATAGGCGTGACTACGTCTGTTAATATTTACAGTCTATGCTCGGCACCCATGGGGGGCGATACTGAGCACAAACCATTCATTTTAATACGGCGCAATCTGGGATCAGAGGGGCTTGGCTCGAACCCACGACCTTCAGGCCCAAAGACCAATGCTCTAGTTTAACATAGATCTTACCTTCTCTGCGACCTCCTGCCAGTCTCCAGTTATGTCCTGGCTCCACCATCACCATCTCCTCCTCCTCCTGCTCCTCTCGGAGAGTGCGCCAGTTATCGCTGTCAGCCCTTGCAAACTCCTTCCTCCCAGCAGCAGGGGGCGCTACAGGCTCCTCAAAGCCTGGCCGTCCCACCTCTCTCCTCAGAGGCTTCTCAAAGCGACGCTCACCCCTGGACAGGACACATGTTTTATCACACACAGGTCTGTGACAGTCTGTAGACACATGTTTCATCACACACAGGTCTGTGACAGTCTGTAGACACATGTTTCATCACACACAGGTCTGTGACAGTCTGTAGAAACATGTTTCATCACACACAGGTCTGTGACAGTCTGTAGACACATGTTTCATCACACACAGGTCTGTGACAGTCTGTAGACACATGTTTTATCACACACAGGTCTGTGACAGTCTGTAGACACATGTTTCATCACACACAGGTCTGTGACAGTCTGTAGACACATGTTTCATCACACACAGGTCTGTGACAGTCTGTAGACACATGTTCAGACTCAGACCCAGACTCCAAGAGCTCCCGTTATAATCAATGGAATTCAGAATTTTAAAATTGATTTATTTACGTAATTTGAAGTAAGTTAAAATTTGTTTTATACCTTTAGTCCCTGCTTTGGATAAGTTAAGAGTGTGTTGCTACGGTAACTAGCATAGGTTGCTAACTAGCATAGGTTGTAATGGTAACAGCAGGTTCTCACCGGTCGTCCCAGCTCTGACTGCGATGGATCTCTCTCACACTGCGACCGAAGCCCACCTCCGTCTCTTCAACACTTCTTTGGTAAAACCCAACTTCTCCTCTGCCACGACCTACGGGTCAGAGGTTAGGGGACAGAGGTCAGTGGTCAGGGAAAACACGAGTCAGAGGTCAGAGAAAAAAGGGGCCAGGTCAGAGAAGACAGAGGTCAGGGGTCAGAGAGGACAGAGAGAACAGCTGTCACCTCGACTCCCTCGTGTGGCCCCCCTCCCTCTGACTGCTCCAGTTGGGGCGACCCCCCCCACGCCTTTCCCCATGAGTCTCAGCACAGCCACACTGTTCACCGACAACGAGAAGTTCCTCTGTGGGGTCAGAGGTCAGAGGTCAGCAGGTTCTACACAGACGTGGAGACTGTTCTAGTGGAGACCCACCTGCTCCTCGTCAGTGAGAGGCTCCAGTGCCAGCGGCTGCATGGGCTCATCCTGCAGAATAGCAGCGAACTCCTTATCCTGCATGTCCTCAGGGACCTGAACACAGTTTACATTAGAACCCTCAGGGACCTGAACACAGTTTACATTAGTACCCTAAGGGACCTGAGTAAATATAATCTGAGAAGCTAATATTAATATGAATGAACTGCTTCAGTCTGTGCTGTCGAACAGGAAGATAATTAGTTACATTAGCTTATATCAGGGCTCGACATTAACGGTTGTCCGCTTGCCCGGGGAATCTAAAGATTTGGGACGGGCAAGTGCGCCGTTTTGCCGGGAGCGGACACGTCTGATTATCTTTTTTTGACCAATACTCTTCCAAATTTTCCACGGATCCGCAATTTCCGACTGTTTTACGCTGACAATGCCATTTCTGTGAAATGTGTGACAGCAGGCACTTTCTGTTGTTTGCTGTACGTACTAGAACGCTATTTGCATCCTCCGCTCTGATCCCGGGAGCAGCTACGGCCGCTTTGTGACAGCTGCTTTGAAAACAGCTCAGTGAACAGAATGCTGAGCTGTGGTCCCGAGCGCGGACTATAGACACGGACAGAACCATAGACACGGACAGAACCACAGACAGATGCGGACAGAACCATATGGACACGCATTCAGGACCATCACCAGCCAGTTGCAAGTGCAGGTCTCCCCCGTGTCTCCTCTGCGCAACCAAAACTCACAAAATTAAAGCTCAGGTACCTAAATCCACAGTTAGTGTCAATTTATTGCCAAACTCTTGTTAACTCATTGTATTGAGACATTTTTGGGCAAGTAACTTTTGACATTGGGCAAGCAAAAAAATGGTACTTGCCCAAAGGGCAAGTGGCTGAGAAAGCGTAATGTCAAGGCCTGAATATTATATTATTATATGTAGAAATATACATATGAATCTATAGGGTTAGGGTATATACAACAGTGCATATCTTCAAGACATGTTAATGTCTTATCAACCAAGCCGAGCACTGTGCTCGAAAACGCCAGATGTCTGGTGGTCCCTAAGGTTTCAAAAAGCACTGTCGGCGGCAGAGCATTTAGCTACCAAGCTAAATGCTCAAGCGTTAAGGAAGCGGACATGGTCTCTACATTTAAGGCCAGGCTTAAAACACTCTTTTTCAACTTAGCATTTGGCTAGGTTTTTGTTCGTCAGGTTTTGTCCGGTCTTGGAGTCTGCGTATATGGGACCCGGTCCGCTGCATCTTCAACCCTACACTCTAGGCTAAGCTAAAACAGTCCTCTTTAGCATATGGCTAGGACGGTAAGACTCAAGGAAGGCTAAACTCCTTAGACTGTCAGTCAAGCTGCATAGGGAGTCAGTTTGCTGGGAGAAGTCTGGTAACTTGAGCACTATCCTCTCCTCCTTCCTACTTTATCTGTTTAGCATTATTAGGATTTTGACTGTAGTTTGATCATTGCTATTCGCCCGTTGTCCCACTGTCTGTTCCATGGTACGATGACGGGACCTCCGGACCTGGCCTCCTCCATCTGCACCTGCGGACTGCCCTGCCCGACCCGCCTGGGAGTTCTTCAGTCCTGTACCGGACCTGTCCACGTTCAACGTCCGCTGGTCCACGTTCTGTAGCTTAGGTCCTGGATCTATAGCCCGTCCGTCCGTGGGAGCGGATCCCTTTCTCAAACTATGGGTCTCCCCGAGGTTTTTCACTTTTTCCCACTGGGTTTTCTTATGAGTTTTTCCTTGCCAATGCAGGAGTGGCTGTTGGGCAGTTAGTGTCCAACTAGAAGGACTGTGGTGATGATCCTGTTTTAACTGTTGATTCTCTGACCTGTGTTGGTGATTTCAATGGTTTTGTTAAGTCCTCTGAGATTACTTCTGTTGTGATTTAGGAATAAATTGTATTGTATTGTATTGTACATATTTCAATCATCACAGCTCTTTCATACTGACCTTGTTGTCTTTGATATAAAGTGCTAACATCTCCTCGCGGCCGTAGCGGTACTCGGCCAGCTTGTACTTTGGCATGGCAGGGGAGGGAGGGGGAGACGTCACACTCCCCCCACTGGACAGTGCACGGAGCCTGGCGGGGGCATACGTTTGTTAGTGACAAGTCTACCCTCTGCTGTGCTGGCCATCCTGCACCTGTGCAGCTTTACACAGCTGCAATCTATGAGGATTCACTACTAGATATATGCACAGGCATTTCAGTTCTAATGCGGCTCATACACATTTAATATTGTGGTAGAGTTGGCCTGTTGTCAAAGCAAAGCTTATGGGCTACAGGACACGGAAGCTAACGATGAGTCATGGAAGCTAACAATGAGTCATGGAAGCTAACAGTGAGTCATGGAAGCTAACAGTGAGTCATGGAAGCTAACGGTGAGTCATGGAAGCTAACAGTGAGTCATGGAAGCTAACAGTGAGTCATGGAAGCTAACGGTGAGTCATGTTATTTGTGTGATAACGAGCTAAATTAATGCTGACGTACCATTCTGGGCCGAAGTTAAGAGTCTCAGCTGTCATATTCCTCACGTCCACAGTATTGAGTATCTGAGGAAACAGTATTATTCAGGAGAGGCCCAAAGCCATCAGCAGGACTCCTTCTCATCAGTCTTACCCTGTCCAGGGATTCGGAGCAGGCTGGACTGAGCTGGACCAGGCTTGAGCTGGTAGACTTAAATTAGGCTAAGGTGACTAAAAGGCTGAGTGGTGCTTATGCTGTGGTCACGGAGCGCCCCAAACACTCACGATTCAGTGAAATAGCTGCCAGTTTCTGGTGTTTGAGGACGACCAGGTAATCAGACCGTGACTTTTGAACGCAAAGGGGTTTGACTACCTTTAAGTATGGAAGCTCCTGCTACTCACAGCCCAAACATAAAAACAAACTACAGAAAAATACACTCTTCTTGTGAATCTGAAGGTTTTGTACAGCAGTTATGCCTCACATTAAAGGTAAAAAGTTCAACTCAGTCGACCACAAAGGTAAGAAACAGCCAACAGGCTTTGACTGCTGGAGCAGCTGCCGTGAGAAGACGCTCTGCCCCGGTGCCCTGTGCTCCCACGGAAAGAGGGCTGAAGGAGCCTCCAGGTGACTCCTTAAGATCGGACCTCTTCCTCTTGCACCACTGCAAACACAGAAAGGACAAGGGCTCGAGACAGGGGAAGATGAGAGTACGAAAGCCAAGTCTGTCAATATACAGATCCTTTGATCAAATCAATGAAGAAGATCAGAGAACCTTTTTTGTAATAATAATAATGACATTTGTGGTTTCCAGGCAGGCTACACAGACTGGTCAGGTCACTCATTGCAACAGGCTCGCTCCAGAGACCACATCCACCCCACATATACAATAGGTCCTCCTCACCTGCTAGTCCCTTCATAACTCTCTCATATCTCACCCACCTCCATTGGCTGTCACTCGCACGCTCCATAGCTCTATTTTGACTGAAGCCGAGAAGGACTGAGGGCTACGAGAAACCGCAGAGAGACCAGAGCGAGAAGGGGGACCAGAGCAAGCGAGAGACCAGAGCGAGAAGGGGGACCAGAGCAAGCGAGAGACCAGAGCGAGAGACCAGAGGAGAGGGTGAAAGACCAGGGAGAGACCAGAGGAGAGAGAGAAAGAACAGAAGGGCGAGACCACAGCAGAGAGAGAGACCAGAGCGAAACAGAGACCAGAGCAAGAGAGAGACCAGAGCGAGACAGACCAGAGCAAGACCAGAAAGAAAGAGAGACCAGAGGAGAGAGAGAGAGACCAGCGAGAGAACAGAGGATAGAGACCAGAGGTAGACCAGAGGTAGCCACAAACGTGTTCTTCTGACTATAAAACGTAACTTGTGTAATACTAATGGTTATATAATGTTGGAGTATAATGAAAGGTGACCTTCAAGTGGAAAATGGCCAAAAGCAGAACCCATTCAGCAACCCTAACCCATTCACACCCTAATCCTAACAGCCTAAATCTAAGATCAACTGTACTTTACCCAAACAGATACAGCTTCCATTGTTGATTGCTGCTGCGTGTTCTTGGGCAAGACACCTCACCACTAGTGAATGTGTGTGTGTGTGTTTCATGGTAATTGTGACCTTTCAGCACTGGTATCCACTATGTGTAGTTCCATATTACATTGTCAGCTAAAATGCAGGCTGCAGTTTATCTTGGAAGTTACCACAAAACTTTGAATGAGTAGAACATCTGTGTCGGTTAATAATGTTTATTGAACTAGATGGATCTGGGTTATGGTTAGGGTTGTTGAATGGGTTAGGGTTATAGATCTAGACATAGATCTGTAAGTACTGTGTTACAAACGAGACATAGATCTGTAAGTACAGAGTTACTAACGACATGGATCTGTGATAAGGGACCTTTAATGATTAGAACTGCCCCATTCAAAACAGTTACTTTTGCAATCCATACAATCGGTTAGGCTACAGAAGAACATACATGTGGGAATGACAGAAGTACATGCATGTGGAAAATACAGAAACAGTGACGTGGGATGTACCCTATAGTTAGGGGAAACCCATCTTACAGTTGGCCACATGGTCCCGTAGTAAGACCCTGCTGTTGGTGTCATGTGTAATGTGCATTATATCACCAAGTCATATTAATGCATCAGTGTCCCCTATAGCCACGCCGCCATGGCGCATATAGAACTGACTTTAGCCTTGTTAGCACTGGAGCTAGCCCACCACGGTGACCCGAGGGTTAGAAACAGAGGCTCCCGCGTTTGGAACGGGCTCCCGTGGCGTCAGAAACTGCCTTTTCCGGGAGTATTCTTTCGTTTGCACCCCGCTACACAGGGCTGCAGGCTGTGGGCTAAGGACTGTGGGACTAGCTTCTGAGGAGGTTCATATGACAGAGATGGCGGAGGGGGCGGAGTGATACACACTTTAGCCTCGGCCTGCGGCGCCAGGCTCTAACTGCTGCTCTCTGTCAGAAATATAAACACAGATGTGAAGAAGACTTTTCTTTAATAACCACTGGACGTGTCGGGCTGTTTTCTGTCAGCTAACCACGCAAGATGAAACACAATCATCATCCCGTGCACAAGCTAGCGTTAGCATGTGAGCTAGCTAGCGTTAGCATGTGTGCTAGCTAGCGTTAGCATGTGAGCTACTAGCGTCAGCCAACAAGCTAGCAGCTGGGGAAAAGCAGCCGTGGCTTACCTTCTCTGTTTGTTGTTGCTATCGTGGTGCAGGGGCTGTCTACGGTCAGATTCTCTCATGCATTGGTCTCTAAACACCGTAAACGTTTGTATTCGACATAATCCTATGTTGACAATGACGTGGTATTAATGTAATGTCTATTTTGTGTGTTTCCTCCGACGCTCGCTGCTGCAGTGTCTGCTCTTCTTGTTGTTTGTGTTTCTGAAACATGGCGGACCCTGTGACACCACGTGACCACGGAGAGAGGACCTGCCCACACTGCCTCCCATTTCAATCTCTTTCAATGTATCTCAGCGCTAACCTTTTACAAAGTTGTGGATTCAGCAACAGATTAGAGAATCAAACAGTTCGAACACAGGACAGGCTGTAGACCCAGGACTGAGGCTGTAGACCCAGGACTGAGGCTGTAGACCCAGGACTGAGGCTGTAGACCCAGGACTGAGGCTGTAGATCCTGGACGGTGGTGTTACAACAGTGGCCCTAACGACTTCTGAGGCTAGTAATAAATATGTAACAAAAACACCAACATTTGCCGTCTGTGGGACGAACATGGACTCTCCTATGAGAGAAGCTTTGTTCGTCCCAGTGTGGGGAAATGTCAGTGTTGCACCGTACATACAGGACAATAGTGAGAGAACACAGAGATAAGTAAAAGGTAAAGGTGCCATTAGCTGAAATAAAGTACAAGATGGCAAGAGCTCTGGTGTGTGTCGTCTGGTGCACACTGGGGTAGTCTTGCACAGTTTTTCCTATGTGGTTTTACTGCAAATGGCAAATAAATGAATCTGAATCTGAAGATTTAACATCTCTAAATGTGAGATTTACCGACTGCTAACAATGTACTTTATACTCCACAAGTTACTTACGTTTGACCCAAAGGTAACAATTCAATTCCATGTATTTGTGTCTGGCCCTAAACTACAGCAGTTGTGGATTCACCAACAACAGATCAGAGAATTAAACTGTCTCCTGATTGGATCGTTGCTTGATCGCTGCTCGGTTGGAAGTTGGCTCCATATTCATATCATGTTTAGAGCCTTCTGCTCTCATAAGACACATCCACGTTTTAATTTACTTTGACAGTTGTAGTTTATTTTACTCTGACATCTATTCAATGATTGAACTCAAGGCAACACCATAGTCTGTAAATATTAAAGACGTAGTCACGCCTCTCTCCGGTGTTCAAACTAATGTGACATCAATTTCCACAAGTTCACAGCGACTAAACTAGACAAAAATAGTATCTGGAACCAAGAGAACCAAGAACCACTTTGGACCGAGAGCCACTTTTGTATCAAGAGCCACTTTTAGACCAAGAGCCACTTTGGACCAAGAACCACTTTTGGACCAAGAGCCACTTTTGGACCAAGAGCCACTTTTGGACCAAGAGCCACTTTTAGACCAAGAGTCACTTTTAGACCAAGAGCCACTTTTAGACCAAGAGCCACTTTTGGACCAAGAGCCACTTTTGGACCAAGAGCCACTTTTGGACCAAGAGTTGTAAATATTAGTCTAATATTATTGTTATAACCGTTCTAAAGGTTTGTCTGTGGCCGTGGCACCAACTTCCCTCAGAGGACAATAAAGTGTTTGCTGTTTGATCCTATTCCATTCAGACAGCAGTCGTCTCAAAGGACTTCGCAAAGTTGTCAATTCTCCTACAACAGATCAGATAATCAAACAGTTCAAACCCTAACCCTAATGCAATAATAACAAATATATAGAGACATTGGTCCATAGGGAGCAGACACCACTGTCCAGAGATGGTTATTAATGTCATTAAATGTTTATACGTTTGACAATGTAGACTCCATCGACAAGGACTGGCAGAATCTCACCATACTTCTCCTAATTAGATGTGCCAAATAAAAGGTCGCCCCAAACCCCCACAAAGTTACAGTTTGATGAGACGTATAACCAACTTAAATCAAATAAAATGCCTGGAAAGACTCATTTTAAAACCACTCAAACACATAATCGCTATCAGAGTGCTCAAATAAACTCAAAGTAAATAAGAATGAGGCTAATGCAAAAACGTGGCCAAATGGCACACACTGTTAGCAAGTGGCATAAACTGCCAAAAGAACTTTATGTTGTGTTAAAGCAGCCTGTGTTACATCAGAAGCGACTGCCTCCAGTCATTTTGCCAGAGCAACACTATTGAATGATCATTTCACGTCTCAGGGACAGAAACCTGATTCCCACGTATTTCCATCTCTTCCACTCATTGCACTCAAACATCCCCAGCTAGCCATACTGGATCCCTCTAAATCTACTGGCCCAGATGGAATTACTAACTTGATCCTGCGGAATTGCCACGAATCCTTAGCAGTACCTCTGTACATTATATTTAAAAAATCAATAGATACTGGACAGATTCTGCAAGCCTGAAAAAGGACGCCCATCTACAAAAACAAGGGTACCAGAACAGAGCCACAGAACGGTCGGCCAATCTCAATAACATCCAATGTTTCGTTGGATCAGAAATGACCTCACTGACAGAAACAAGTGGTCAAAATGGATAATATTCTCTCAGACACACGTCCAGTCCACTCTGGAGTGCCCTAAGGAATCACCTTGACACCCACACTGTTTGTAAAGTTTATGAACGACCTCTCACATCTTATTCCTGGATCAAGCAAACCAGGTACAGGGACTGTCTGCTCTATGCAGAAGACAGGCTGCGAGGTGCATCCCAACAGCTTCCTCTAATGATAAGTAACAGTAAGTCACAGACTAGAAAATTGCTTTGTCTCTCAGTGTAATCAAGTCAGAAGTAGAGAAGAATGAGGCATAATAAAAAATTTCTAAGACATTTCTAAACATCTCTTAAGTATAGCTTTTTCTGAGATAGCGTAAAGTTATTACGATTATTACTATATACAAGCAAGCAAAGTTTATTTATATAGCACCTTTCTCAGACAGAAGGTCACAAAGTGCTTCACATCAAAAACAAGCAATAATTAAAAACACAAGAAAAAAAAATTACACAATCAAACAACAGTGGAGACAGTCATATCATCCCATAAAACCGTACTTTCAAAACGCTCGACTGAACAAGAACGTCTTGAGTTGGGATTTAAATGTATCAACAGAGTCAAGTGATCGTAGAGAGAGCGGGAGATCGTTCCAGAGTCTAGGTGCGACAGCCCGGAAGGATCGGTCTCCTCTGGTTCGATAACAAGTGCGAGGAACCATCAAGAGATTTTTATCTGCAGACCTCAGAGAACGAGAGGGGACATAGGGCTGAATCAGATCTCTGATGTGAGAAGGCGTCCATACACCGGGTGCACACAATATACAATGTACATTAAGCAGTGCAGTAAAGTGGCTTTATAAGGGAAGTAAAGTGGCTTAATAGAGGGGAGTAAAGTGGCTTAATAGAGGGGAGTAAAGTGGCTTTGTAAATCCAGACCTCCTGATCAGCCTGACAGAGGTCAGGGTGAGTCCGAGCAGCCGATGGACGGTCTCTGTTCCAACACATCTGGGAATGAACTGTTTCAAAAACAAGCTTTGGAACACTGACAAAGAGAGCATTTTCAATACTTTGTTTTATACAAATGTAGTGTCCCAGTCGTCAATGCTTTCGGGCACGACGTTTTATACATTGAAGACATATTTATTTTCTAATAAAAGGTGGGAAGGACAGTTCTTCCTCCAAAACACACGAGGGCGTCACAGTCTTTGATTTGAGCGTATCTGCAGTCTCTCTAAGCACCAGCAACAGGCACAACCGGTCACAACACACCACATCGTCCCCACGCAGAGCAGAGCCGTGCAGAGACGTGTAGAGCCGGGCTGAGGCGAGCAGAGCAGAGCCGTGCAGAGCCCAGCCGTGCAGAGCCGGGCTGAGGCGAGCAGAGCCGAGCCGAAGCCCCTGCTATAGACGCAGCTCGGGACAGACGCGGAGGTTTGGAGGATTTAATGTTTTCTGGTGATTATGGAGAGAGCGGGAGCGCGGCGTCATGTCCTTTAGATCTGAGATAAAGCATGTGTTGGAGACGGTTCAATGACTCTGCTCTGCTCCACTGTACTCTGTTGTGTTTCCATTACACTTTAGTATCTTGTATTGAACAGGACTGAGGCTGTAGACTCAGGAGTTCTATAGTCTCTCTCTGCTCTCTCTCTGGTCTCTCTTTGGTCTCTCTCAGGTGTCTGTGCAGATATGAATGCTTCTCAACCAGCTGTACCCACACTGTGTGACAGGTGTCTGACCATGAGTGACCAGCGTCCCTCTGCCCCGACCCCTGCGGTGGAGGCCCCGCCCCCTGCGGTGGACATGGATCCTGTGGAGTACACTCTGAGGAAACGTCTGCCGCGAAAACTGCCAAAGAGACGCAACGACGTCTACGTCAACATGAAGACGGACTTCAGGGCTCAGCTGGCGCGTTGCCAGAAGCTGCTGGAGGGAGGAGGTCACCGGGAGATCTGTGTCCACGGCCTGGGACTGGCCATCAACCGGGCCATCAACATCGCCCTGCAGCTCCAGGCCAGCAGCCAGGGGGCGCTGCAGCTGGCCACCAACACCTCCACTGTGGAGCTGGTGGACGATCTGGAGCCTGAGGATCCCGACGAGACCGGAGAGACTCTCACACGCACACGCAACAACTCTGCTATACACATCAAAGTGTTCTACCCCGAGCCACAGTGAACTGGTCTCTCTCTCTGATCTCTCTCTCTCTCTCCTTCTGTCTCTGTCTCTCTGTCTCTCTCTCTCTCTCTGTCTGTCTCTCTCTGGTCTCTCTGGTCTCTCTCTCTGGTCTCTCTCTCTAGGTCTCTCTGGTCTTTCTGGTCTTTTTCTCTCTCTCTGGTCTCTTTGGTCTCTCTTTCTGGGACATTTAAAGAATAAAAGTGAACTGTTCTGTTTAAAGAGACTTGTGTTAATTGTTTCTGATTTATTTCTTTACATAAACAGTGATGGCCAAAAGTCTCAGTGTCAGTCGGAAGAACGAGGTTTAGTATAAATACTAATGTGTCAGTCTCTGAGTCTCCAGGAGGGCTGCAGGTCAATGCCTCTAATCCAGAGGTTTTTAGGTCTGAGGGAGACATGATGAACTGGACGTATCGCCATGTATGTACAGCATGTGCGTGCGTGTGTGTGTGGTCTGATTTAGAGTACACAGACCACATGCATGTATGTATGTGGTCTGTGTACTCTACTCTACTCTACTCTACTCTACTCTACTCTACTCTACTCTACTCTACTCTACTCTACTCTACTCTACTCTGTTCTACTCTACTGAATGTAATTAATGAATGAATGGATGATGTTGGTGTTGGGTTGGTGTTGGGTTAGTAAAACCAATAAACATGACTTACTAGACTGCTCTACTCTTCCCTTTATTGTCTAGTACTGTATCCTGGTAACCTACTCAAAACAATCCAGTATCCATGGAAATTCCTTGGTAACCATAGCCTCCAGTGTGTGTATGTGATAGCACGACTCTTTCTCAGCAAAATAAGTTTCTCACCATAAAAGTATCGTTTCCAGTGTGTTGATATGAAACGGAGTCCTGGTTCTGGTCCTTGTCCTGGTTCTGATCCTGGTCTTGATCCTGGTCTTGATTTGATAGTACACAGCTGTGGCCCAGAATAAAGAAACCGACTCAGTTTTTATCTTTTATCAGGAATCATTTTACTTCTAAAAATGGTGGAAAAGTCTTCAGTGTAAAAACAGGAAATGACAAAATCAATCAAACCAAACAACAGAGGAACCAGTGGGAACAGGAACCTGCTGCTGGTCTCAGGAGCTCCTGAGACCATCAACATGTGCTGGTCCCAGGAGCTCCTGAGGAGGACTATCAACTTGTACTGGTGAAACTGCAGATAAAGGCACAGTCCCTCTTGCTCCTCGTAGTCTCAGACTTGCTCATTGTAGTCTCAGACTTGCTCCTCTTGCTCCCCGTAGTCCCAGAACATTCACTCTGCTCAGAAACAGCAGCCTTTGATTTCATAATAAATAGTTTCAGCTCAAAACACGACTCACACAAAGTCTCAAAAAGCAGCGTTGTATAAATATTAAAATAGTAAAATAAAGACATATAACTCATGAGTTAAGATCTAAGTAAATGTAAGACCGCACAGACTGGTCCACACTGGTCTCACAAGTCACAATAAAAGTGCAAAGGAGTGCTAGAAGAAGAGCTCAGCAGGGGGTCCGAGGCCTGGGTCTGTGGTGAGTGTCCAGTCCACACAGTCCTCCAGGGGGCGCTCTTCTCGCTGACTGTTCCAGACCCTTGGAGCCAATCAGCTGACAGCATGTGTCTTGCAGGCCTGGGCATCGCGCAGCAGCAGGTTCACTTTCCCGCGCAAAAAGTTGGACTGGACTTGGAGCAGTTCTGAGGAAGTGGAGACGGTCCAGGTCCCCTCCAGCACCGTGGCGTTCAGTGGTGGACTGTACTCCTGAAACAGAAATGTGATTAAGGAGAGAAACTGTACAGTCTCTGGTCTCTCTCAGGTCTCCCCCTGATTTCTCTCTGGTCGCTCTCTGGTCTCTCTCTCTCTGGTCTCACTCTCTGGTCTCTCTCTCTCTGGTCTCTCTCTCTCTGGTCTCACTCTCTGGTCTCTCTCTCTCTGGTCTCTCTCTCTGGTCTCTCTCTCTGGTCTCTCTCTCTCTGGTCTCTCTCTCTCTGGTCGCTCTCTGGTTGCTCTCTGGTCGCTCTCTGGTCTCTCTCTGGTCTCTCTCTCTGGTCTCTGTGGTCTCTCTCTGGTCTCTCTCTCTGGTCTCTCTGGTCTCTCTCTCTGCTCTCTTTGTGCTCTCTTTGTGGTCTCTCTCTGGTCTCTCTCTGTTGTCTCTCTGTGGTCTCTCTCTGGTCTCTCTCTCTGCTCTCTTTGTGCTCTCTTTGTGGTCTCTCTCTGGTCTCTCTCTGGTCTCTCTCTGGTCTCTCACCTGTAGGTTGAGACTCCTCAGCACGGCGTTGAGACTGAGTAAGTTTCCTACAGAGGAGTCGATGTGACTTTGCAGCTGAGTGTTGGTCACAGACGAGCGCAGAATGTCCAAGGCCTGTTGCAGCAACCACAGCCCAGACTGCACCTCCAGGGCCTGCTCCAGGGGCTACGGGGAGAGAGGAGAGGGGAGGAAGAGAGGAGAAAGGTCAGAGGGCACAGGTCAGAAGGCAGAGGGCACAGGTCAGAGGGCACAGGTCAGAGGGCACAGGTCAGAGGTCAGAGGACCTACCTGTTTTGTGGCCCAGAGGTCGTGGTCCACATTGGTCTGTGGGACAGTAACAGACGCAGACAGAACACATCCATCAGGACACACTCTCTGAAACACACAGGCATCACCTATTGGTTCATGGCTTGTGGTTGCTATAGCAACGGGTCATTCGGGCGTGGTCATGTGGGCTTGGTCATGTTGGACAGTCTATACTAAAATAATGTCTCTAACACAGAAGAAAGTCTAATATCTCTAACTTTAGCGTAACACAGAAGAAAGTCTAATATCTCTAACTTTAGCGTAATACAAAAGCCAGTATAAATCCTGTATATTCCCGTGCAGACATACAGTGCCTTGCGAAAGTATTCGGCCCCCTTGAACCTTTCAACATGTCGCCACATTTCAGGCTTCAAACATAAAGATATAAAAACTACATTTTTTGTCACAATCGTGAAGTGGAACAAAATTTATTGGATAATTTAAACTTTTTTAACAATTAAAAAACTGAAAAGTGGGGCGTGCAATATTATTCGGCCCCCTTGCGCTAATACTTTGTAGCGCCACCTTTTGCTGCAATTACAGCTGCAAGTCGCTTGGGGTATGTCTCTATCAGTTTTGCACATCCAGAGACTGGAATTGTTGCCCATTCTTCCTTGCAAAACAGCTCGAGCTCAGTGAGGTTGGATGGAGAGCGTTTGTGAACAGCAGTCTTCAGCTCTTTCCACAGATTCTCGATTGGATTCAGGTCTGGACTTTGACTTGGCCATTCTAACACCTGGATACGTCTATTTGTGAACCATTCCATTGTAGATTTGGCTTTATGTTTTGGATCATTGTCCTGTTGGAAGATAAATCTCCGTCCCAGTCTCAGGTCTTTTGCAGACTCCAACAGGTTTTCTTCCAGAATGGTCCTGTATTTGGCTCCGTCCATCTTCCCATCAATTTTAGCCATCTTCCCTGTCCCTGCTGAAGAAAAGCAGGCCCAAACCATGATGCTGCCACCACCATGTTTGACGGTGGGGATGGTGTGTTCAGGGTGATGAGCTGTGTTGCTTTTACGCCAAACATATCGTTTTGCATTGTGGCCAAAAAGTTCGATTTTGGTTTCATCTGACCAGAGCACCTTCTTCCACATGTTTGGTGTGTCTCCCAGGTGGCTTGTGGCAAACTTTAAACCAGACTTTTTATGGATATCTTTGAGAAATGGCTTTCTTCTTGCCACTCTTCCATAAAGGCCAGATTTGTGCAGTGCACGACTGATTGTTGTCCTATGGACAGACTCTCCCACCTCAGCTGTAGTTATCTGCAGTTCATCCAGAGTGATCATGGGCCTCTTGACTGCATCTCTGATCAGTCTTCTCCTTGTTTGAGATGAAAGTTTGGAGGGACGGCCGGGTCTTGGTAGATTTGCAGTGGTCTGATACTCCTTCCATTTCAATATAATTGCTTGCACAGTGCTCCTTGAGATGTTTAAAGCTTGGGAAATCTTTTTGTATCCAAATCCGGCTTTAAACTTCTCCACAACAGTATCTCGGACCTGCCTGGTGTGTTCCTTTGTCTTCATGGTTCTCTCTGCGCTTTAAACAGAACCCTGAGACTATCAAAGAGCAGGTGCATTTATACGGAGACTTGATTACACACAGGTGCATTCTATTTATCATCATCAGTCATTTAGGACAACATTGGATCATTCAAAGATCCTCACTGAACTTCTGGAGTGAGTTTGCTGCACTGAAAGTAAAGGGGCCGAATAATATTACACGCCCCACTTTTCAGTTTTTTTATTTGTTAAAAAAGTTTAAATTATCCAATACATTTTGTTCCACTTCACGATTGTGTCCCACTTGTTGTTGATTCATGACAAAACATATTTTTTTATATCTTTTGCAAGGTACTGTATACACTTGCATGTTAGCATGTTAGCATGTTAGCATGTTAGTATGTTAGCATGTTAGCATGCTAGCATGTGAGGATCTGGGACAGTGACCCACCATGGCGGCCTCAGCGTCACGGGCCTCTTTGATGATGCGGTTGAGGACTCTGAGGTCACAGATGGGCCTCAGGGGAGAAGGTAGAGCCAACAACTCTAACACCATCAGCAGCAGAGCCAGCAGTCCTGCAGGAAACACACTGTTAGTGACCAGAAGGAGACCAGAGGAAGACCAGAGAGAGACCAGAGAGAGAGACCAGAGAGAGAGACCAGAGAGAGAGAGACCAGAGAGAGAGACCAGAGAGAGAGACCAGAGAGAGAGACCAGAGAGAGACCAGAGAGAGACCAGAGAGAGACCAGAGAGAGACCAGAGTGGTTAGTCCTACTGCAGCTGTTTCTCACACTATTCTTTCCTCTCAGTCCAATGTGCGTCACTCTCTGATTGCACCTCATTAAAACAGGACGAAAACAAGGAAACACTCAGCACTGTTGTGGCTCCTGAACACCAGAGAGAGACCACAGGGAGACCAGAGAGAGAGACCAGAAAGAGACCAGAGAGAACAGAGAGACCAGAGAGAGACCAGAGAGAGACCAGAGGGAGACCAGAGGGAGACCAGAGAGAGACATGAGAGAGACATGAGAGAGACATGAGAGAGACCAGGGAGAGACCAGGGAGAGACCAGGAAGAGACTAGAGAGAGACCAGAGAGACTAGAGAAAGACTAGAGAGAGACCAGAGATATATCAGAGAGAGACCAGAGAGACCAAAGAGAGAGTTAAAAGTCAGTGCTTGTTTAAGTTGATTTTTATCAAGGAAACACCCAGAGCATCATAGGACCATAAACATTGAACCCTGAACACAATTAGTAAGAATTAAATGTAAACATTATTCAACAGTGAGCCTCAGACTACAAAAAACACTTGATCCATTGGTTTTTGTCTCTGTTATATAAGAACAAACTCTCAAGTCTCTGTCCTGACGTCCTCTCACATTAGTCCTGGTTTCCTGAAGTCCTCTCACATTAGTCCTGGTTTCCTGAAGTCCTTTCACATTAGTCCTGGTCTCCTGAAGTCCTCTCACATTAGTCCTGGTCTCAGGCCTCTGTTTCTTGTGGCTCAGAGATTAGACTTTAAAGCAGCTCTGATTGTTGAGGGACTGGCCTCTTGCTGGGACTCTGAGGAGCACAGGGACTGGCCTCCTGCTGGGACTCTGAGGAGCACAGGGACTGGCCTCCTGCTGGTATTGTTTGTACCTTGTTTTGTTAAGCACTTTGTGCCTTGTGTATGAACTGTGCTATACAAATAAGGTGTAATGAAGCGCACAGTTGGTTTTTGCAGAGTGTTGTTGGTCATGACGGCATGTGTTCCTTTGTGTCCACGGCTCTGAATGCACTTCTTTCAGAGCAAAGAAATGTGACGCAAACATTCATTCAATAGAGCTGTGTCTCTGAAGCAGACGCCACTGGCTCAGTCCCTGTGCTCACAGAGGCCAAAGGTACCATGGGGGCACTGTCATGCACTTTTCCTTTATCTAAATTTGGTTTGATGGAGCAAACTAATTGTTGTAGTTTCCTGTAGTGTTTCGGCTCGGGCTGGAACTATCAGAACTGTGAGGATTCTATAACTGAAATCTTTGGCCAAAATCCAATATTATTGTGATTATTGTGATTCTAACATATCACGATACAGACAGTATGTTATTCTAACATATCACAATACACGTACAGTATGTGATTCTAACATACAGACAGTCTGTGATCAACATATCACATTACAGACAGTATGTGATCAACATATCACGATACAGACAGTATGTGATTCTAAACGTATCACTATACAGACAGTATGTGATTCTAAACGTATCACGATACAGACAGTATGTGATTCTAAACGTATCACGATACAGACAGTATGTGATTCTAAACGTATCACGATACAGACAGTATGTGATTCTAACGTATCACGATACAGAAAGTATGAGATTCTATCTAACATATCACGATACAGAAAGTATGTGATTCTTTCTAACGTATCACGATACAGACAGTATGTGATTCTTTCTAACATATCACGATACAGACATATGTGATTCTAACGTATCACGATACAGACATATGTGATTCTAACGTATCACGATACAGACAGTATGTGATTCTGTGAGATATTGTGATTCTTGTCCTTCATAATATTCAAAGACTTTGCAAACATGGAGGAAAATCAGACTCTGTGACATTTATTGTGGTTTGTCATGAGACAAACAGTGAGGAAAGTGCAAACACTTGATCCTGGAACATTGAGGACACAGCACCTTATTACAGACATCACTATTCTGTGAAGACGAGGCTCACATGAACGAGGAGCTCACATTCAGTGTTCTCTCTGATTTTTCATGGATCTGAGCAAAGACACAGAGCTCTGTGAAACCTCCTAAAGTAGATTTAGGAACAGTTATTCATATAATGTGTGTGTGTATAAATTGTGAATATATGTAAATAGTAAATATATATGTAAATATATAATAGATAACAGATAATAAAAGCTTAGGGTTGTTCTAGTTGCCTTTCCTGTGTTTGAATCACATCTGTATATAGACTTCTGTGGTTCAGGGTGAAACACATACACTTTGAACAGAACCTGAGGCGCAGGGGTCTTTGACCAGAGGAAAAGGTGTCTTTGCATCATGTGGTGTCGCTGAGAGCGAGCGTGGCATGTGAGAGGATTAGTGGCCCTTTCACCTCTGCCCTGCCTACGTGAGAATGCCTCAATCTTCCACTTGTATACACTGGCTCTCTGTCGCACTACTCTGCTGGAATTTGTAATCTAGGACTGTGGCCAAAGTAAAAGTTAGTGTGCGTGTGTGCCAGCTGCCTCTGCCAAACCCTGTGACCCTGTGACTCCTGCTGCAGCCTCCTCAGCTTCACCTCTGAAGTGTGTCAGTGGAGCAGAGGAGGTCACTGAGGGTCCTCCACCAAACTCCAGCTCAGTCTTTCGGGAACCAGAGAGGAACTGGAAGTGATGGCAGTGCACTTGCTTTGTGCCGAGTCACTGTGGAGAGTGTGGGACCCTCGCTGACTTCCAGGAGCTCCTCTGTCTGTGACGTAACCTCTGACTGTGGATAACCCTAACACTGTTTGTGAGATCTATAAAGTTGTGTTTCATCTTTTATTTTTATGTATTTATTTTTGTTTCATTTTGCTGAGGGTCTTAACCTTATCAGTCTGAGACAATAGTGTAGGGTTAGCCCTAACCCAGTGTCCTGCTTTAACCACTGCTTACATATCGCAAACACTTACAATCAGCTTTTTACCGACTCGTTCTTTGAAAATCCAGATAAATGTTAGTGCCATACAAATTAAGTGTCACTCCTGCTTGGGCTAATAACAAAACAAGACTGGAGCAACACATTCTCGGAGCGAGTTACATTCAATGGTAATGTTTTGTAATGAGCCACATCCCTGAGCTTTAAATTACAGTATCTTAAAAAGTATTAATTGACATAATGTGGCTTTTCTCGGGAACATGAAGAATCCCGTTTCTAAGAACAGCTCACATCAAAGGCCCGCGGCTCTTTATCATCCTTACTTTCATAAGAATAATTAAGTTATATTATTATAACATATATTTAAAGTCTTATCTCAGAAGCAGAGGCTGACTCCTAGCTGCGCACGTCCTCCTCGTCTCGTCACTTCAACAAAAATGATGCAAACGTGAATAAAAGTCTTACGAATGGAGGTAGTGGGTCTAATCCAATCCCAGCGCTCCAGCATATATCCATGCGCCCTGTGCTCCCAGATCCATGCGCCCTGTGCTCCCAGATCCTGGCTGTCACTACATCACTGCGACGCTGACTAAAAGTGCACAGTTTTGACCTCCCCTGCGGATAACGTGACTGCGTGCGAGGACGTGCCCGCGCACTGGTTAAACATCGACCCACGCACACACACAAACAAGAGTAATGTCCGAGCAGAGTGTGAAAAGTGTGGGCACATAACTCACTGAAGTCCATAGTGCAGCCCCCTCACCGGGTCCGCGCGGCTCGCTCCATGCTCCGGGTCTATGGTCATTGGATCCAGCCCTGATCCGGTAGGTCCTTCTCCAAACTGCTCTTGTTTCTTTGGACTGATGGCTTCAAACATATTTTTTCAGTGATGACAATTGAGAAGCCCCCGTGCGCCCTCCGCTGATCCCGGTCACCATCTGATTCAGAGATCAGAGACAGTGTTGCCGTCAGAGTGATAGTAGCATAGATACTGCACAGGAGCCGTCAGAATGACTGTAGCATAGATACTGCACAGGAGCCGTCAGAATGACTGTAGCATAAACACTGTGCAGGAGCCGTCAGAATGACTGTAGCATAGATACTGCACAGGAGCCGTCAGAATGACTGTAGCATAAACACTGTGCAGGAGCCGTCAGAATGACTGTAGCATTGATACTGTGCAGGAGCCGTCAGAATGACTGTAGCATAGATACTGCACAGGAGCCGTCAGAATGACTGTAGCATAAACACTGTGCAGGAGCCGTCAGAATGACTGTAGCATTGATACTGTGCAGGAGCCGTCAGAATGACTGTAGCATAGATACTGCACAGGAGCCGTCAGAATGACTGTAGCATAGATACTGTGCAGGAGCCGTCAGAATGACTGTAGCATAGATACTGTGCAGGAGCCGTCAGAATGACTGTAGCATAGATACTGTGCAGGAGCCGTCAGAATGACTGTAGCATAGATACTGCACAGGAGCCGTCAGAATGACTGTAGCATAGATACTGTGCAGGAGCCGTCAGAATGACTGTAGCATAGATACTGTGCAGGAGCCGTCAGAATGACTGTAGCATAGATACTGCACAGGAGCCGTCAGAATGACTGTAGCATAGATACTGCACAGGAGCCGTCAGAATGACTGTAGCATAGATACTGCACAGGAGCCGTCAGAATGACTGTAGCATAAACACTGTGCAGGAGCCGTCAGAATGACTGTAGCATAAACACTGTGCAGGAGCCGTCAGAATGACTGTAGCATAAACACTGTGCAGGAGCCGTCAGAATGACTGTAGCATTGATACTGTGCAGGAGCCGTCAGAATGACTGTAGCATAGATACTGTGCAGGAGCCGTCAGAATGACTGTAGCATAGATACTGTGCAGGAGCCGTCAGAATGACTGTAGCTTAAATACTGTGCGCCTGGTCCGCTCTGCACTCGAGGAACAATCTCTGCGTCCTGAACATCAGAGTACAACATCATTCAAGTAAGTCATTCAAAGGAAAAGTCTATTCCTTTGGTCTCTCTCTGGTCTTTCTCAGGTCTCTCTCTGGTCTCTCTGGTTTTTCTAGTCTCTCTGTGGTCTCTCTGTGGTCTATCTGGTCTCTCTGGTCTGTCTCTGGTCTCAGGTCTCTCTAACCCTAACCCAGAGGCAGTGTTTCAGATTTATGCTAAAATCTGGAATAGTCTTCCTGAAAATGTGAGACAGACTTCTTCTCTGACGATATTCAAATCCAGGTTAACTCTGTTCTGTGGTTATGTATGGCTCTTGGAGTGGCCTTGTGTATGAACTGTGCTATACAGATAAACTGGCCTTGTATCCTGTCACATGGTGTGTTATGATTAAGTCCGTTACAACATTATGTAAAGCAGGAAACCTGTTCAGTGCGGAAGTTTCACTGTTTACATTCTCTGCATTATCTGCACTTTCACACATGGGTAAAAGAGGCCCTTTACTCACAGCACTTTGATTAGGGGTGGGAACCTAAGGGTGCCTCACGATACGATACGATACACGATACAAAGCTCACGATAACGATAATATCACGATAACGATATCACGATAACGATTTTATCACGATATGACGATTATTGATATATTGGTCAGAAATATACAATATGCCAATTGATGGTATAAATAAAAGAAAAAAACTCTTTATTTCATGATAAATAAAATGGAGATGCGTAATGTAGCCATATATTAAGTATTGATACCAAATTTTAAAAAAATTCAAAAAAAATTCAAAACATTTTTTTTTTTAAATCGATATTGATACTTGGCAAATGCATATCGATAATCGAATCGCGGGAGAAAGTATCGTCACACCCCTGACTTTGATCACAGCCCTTTTCTCAGAGAACTTTACTCACGGCACTTTACTCACGGCCCTTTACTCATGGCCCTTAACTCTGAGCACTTAACTCGGAGCACTTTACTCTCGGCACTTTACTCACTGCACTTTATTCAGAGCACTTTACTCACAGCACTTTACTCAAGGCCCTTTACTCACTGCACTTTATTCAGAGCACTTTACTCACAGCACTTTACTCACGGCCCTTTACTCATGGCCCTTAACTCTGAGCACTTAACTCGGAGCACTTTACTCTCGGCACTTTACTCACTGCACTTTATTCAGAGCACTTTACTCACAGCACTTTACTCAAGGCCCTTTACTCTCGGCACTTTACTCACTGCACTTTATTCAAAGCACTTTACTCACAGCACTTAACGCACAGCACTTTACTCAGAGCACCTTCCTCCAGCACTTTACTCACAGCACTCTACTCATGGCACTTTAATCACAGCAGCAGTCGTCTCGGAGAACTTTACAAAGTGGTGAATTCACCAAGAAAATATCATAGAATCAAAAAGCCATTGGTTCATGGGGAGCGGGATGACCCCTTAGAAACCCAGGACTGAGGCTGTGGACCCAGGACTGAGGCTGTAGATCCAGGACTGAGGCTGAAGATCCAGGACTGAGGCTGTAGATCCAGGACTGAGGCTGAAGATCCAGGACTGAGGCTGTAGATCCAGGACTGAGGCTGTAGACCCAGGACTGAGGCTGAAGATCCAGGACTGAGGCTGTAGATCCAGGACTGAGGCTGTAGACCCATGACTGAGGCTGAAGATATAGGACTGAGGCTGTAGACACAGGACTTTTTTTTCGTGTTTGGCCTTTTCTGCTTTTGTTCTTTTGGTTTCTAGGACACTTGTCTGTCTCCTTAGTCAATGGTCCACCAGTGCTTGTGTCTCTTTGTGTCCAGTACTTCCTGGTGTGTACTTCCTGATGTGTAATCCTGGTGTGTACTTCCTGGTGTGTACTTCCTGGTGTGTACTTCCTGATGTGTACTTCCTGGTGTGTACTTCCTGGTGTGTACTGACTGGGTATTTATTGGCGTGGGTCCTGTTTATGGAAAATGTCCAGAGCAGCTTTTTGATCTGAAAAACACAAGAATCAGAATCAGTGTCTAAAACAGACTCTGAGATTCTTATCCTGTAACAGCTGCTCTCTGGTCTCTCTCTAGTCTCCATGGTCTCTCTCTGGTCTCATTGGTCTCTCTTGTCTCTCTGGTCTCTCTCTCTGGACTCTCACTCTGGTCTCTCTCTGGTATCTCTGGTCTCTCTCTCTGGTCTCTCTGATCGCTCTCTGATCTCTCTCTGGTCTTTCCCTAGTCTCTCTCTGGTCTTTCCCTGGTCTCTCTCTGGTCTTTCCCTGGTCTCTCTCTGGTCTTTCCCTGGTCTCTCTCTGGTCTCTCCCTGGTCTCACTCTGGTCTCTCTCTGGTCTCACTCTGGTCTCTCTCTGGTCTCACTCTGGTCTCTCTCTGGTCTTTCCCTGATCTCTCTCTGGTCTCTCTGTTCTCACTCTGGTCTCCCTGGTCTCTCCCTGGTCTCTCCCTGGTCTCTCGCTGGTCTCTCTCTGGTCTCACTCTGGCCTCTCTGGTCTCACTCTGGTCTCTCTGTTTGCCTTCAGTGAGTGGTCAAAGGGGATGTTTGCTTTGTTTGATGTAGAAGTGACACAGAGAAAACCCTGTACGTGCTGCGAGACATGCTCAAGGAGCAGGGAAGGGCCGTGGGGGGTGAGGGGGGTGAGGGGGTGAGGGGGGTGAGGGGGTGAGGGGGGCCGTCCAGTCACACTGACTCCTGACTCCACAGGAACAATGGTCACAGAGGTGAAGGTGATGGAGATGAACCATGGGGATGAAGGGACCATGAAGGGACCGGGCGAGCAGCCAGCTCTGTGCTGTGGCGCGCCGCGAGACAGGAAGTGACTCTGAAGAACAGAGGTCTTTGTTTGTTGTGTCTATGAATCTTATTAAACAAACCTCAGACAAGACATATGAGAGGCTCATCCATGCTGTAGACCCAGGACTGAGGCTGTAGACCCAGGACTGAGGCAGACCCAGGACTGAGGCTGTAAACCCAGGACTGAAGCGAGGCTGTAGACCCAGGGCTGAGGCTGTAGACCCAGGACTGAGGCAGACCCAGGACTGAGGCGAGGCTGTAAACCCAGGGCTGAGGCTGGGCATGTTAGCAGTAGTAGAAATTGCAGAATATATTACTCCTATAACATACAAACATACATACATATTCTATGTATATATGTTTGTATGATTGCGAGCAAGGGACCAGTGCACAATTTCCTTTGGGATCAATAAAGTATATATCTATCTTTCCATCTATAACATCTATGTTTTAGGTGAGTCTTATTAACTTTTATAAAGATAATAATGAATGGAATTTCTCTGGTGACCTTAAAACGGAACCATAGCGCGCTCTACCTAATACGGGGACAGGTTTGAGAGAGACACTTGTTCTGTTTACATTGCAGACATGTGTGCAGACTCGCAGCCCCGGTGTCTTCCCGTTAACGTGCACGTTGGTCTGCAAGTCCCGGGCAGCACCACTGTTACCGGGGACTACACGTACTTCCACTACTGCTGCGACGGGTTCGACGACCGCGGCTGGGGCTGCGGCTACCGCACCCTGCAGACTCTGACGTCCTGGGTCCTCCACAACTGTCATGTTCAGCGGGAGAGCTCAGAGAGAGAGACCAGAGAGAGAGAGAGACCAGAGAGAGAGACCACACAGGTGAGAGAGGGAGAGACCACAGATTGAGAGACCAGAGGGAGAGGGACCAGAGAGAGAGAGACCAGAGAGAGAGAGAGAGAGAGAGAGAGAGAGACCAGAGAGAGGGAGACCAGAGAGAGAGAGACCAGAGAGAGAGAGACCAGAGAGAGAGGAGACCAGAGAGAGAGAGAGAGAGAGAGAGAGAGACCAGAGAGAGGGAGACCAGAGAGAGGGAGACCAGAGAGAGAGAGACCAGAGAGAGGGAGACCAGAGAGAGAGGGAGACCGACCAGAGAGAGGGAGACCGACCAGAGAGAGGGAGACCAGAGAGAGAGAGAGAGAGAGAGAGAGAGACCAGAGAGAGCGAGAGAGAGAGAGAGGGAGACCGACCAGAAAGAGGGAGACCAGAGAGAGGGAGACCGACCAGAGAGAGGGAGACCAGAGAGAGGGAGACCGACCAGAGAGAGGGAGACCAGAGAGAGGGAGACCGACCAGAGAGAGGGAGACCAGAGAGAGGGAGACCGACCAGAGAGAGGGAGACCAGAGAGAGGGAGACCAGAGAGAGGGAGACCGACCAGAGAGAGGGAGACCAGAGAGAGGGAGACCAGAGAGAGGGAGACCGACCAGAGAGAGAGACCGACCAGAGAGAGACACACAGGTGAGAGAGGGAGAGGGCAGAGTGGCCTCAGTTGTAGTTTTTCACCAGTTGTAGCGTTTGAGTGAGAGAATAATGATGTGAGAATAGGGGTGGGCGATATGGATATATGGATATTTTTCTTCCAACTCCCGATAACGATATTGTCACAATATCTTTCAAATCAATCATTTTTACACAAAATGATCTGTAATGTTTTCCTGCCAGGGGATCTATAGATAGGCAGTGTAGATCTAAATAGAAGCTTCACACTTCTTTGCAAAACATGCACAAACCTATAATAACTTATATTAACATTAAAAATCAAATTCAAGTAACACAGAATAAACACATCCAAAAAGGCTCAGTATTTACTGAATGTACAAATAAAGCAGTGGTTGGCTTTTTAGGTACACATTAGACCAAATGGGCATCTGTCCTTCTCTAATTGTAATATGTATGTAAAAAGAAAAAGGACGTTAATACAAAAAAGCATATCTTCAAATTGACTCACGATATTGTCTACAATATATTTTGCCCACCCTTATTTGAGGAGCTGTAAAACCTGATCATAGACTTAAGCATCTTCGTCTAAAACTGTGGCTGAAATCGGAGCAATGTTGTTTACATGGTTAATGAACTGAATATTGAATGACTTTTATATTTGTACATTTTAAATGTGTGCGTTTTGGTCTTGGTATAACACTAAAGGTCTGTCCAATGTCACTGTTGTCCATATCAGATAAATACATACAAAATTATTATCATTCCTTGGGGTTAGCCATGCTTCTACGTTCATTCCTTGGGGTTAGCCATGCTTCTACATTCATTCCTTGGGGTTAGCCATGCTTCTACGTTCAGGTGATGATCCAGGACACTTAAGCATTCTACACATTCTACAACATGTATGGACACTTTCTTCTGTGTGTGCTTTATATTCTTCATGTGTTTTAACTGTTGATTCTCTGATCTGTGTTGGTGATTTCAATGGTTTTGTTAAGTCCTCTCAGATGACTTCTGTTGTGACCTAGGGCTATACAAGAATATATTGTATTGTATGTATGTGAAATACTTGTACCTAGTATACTCTGACTCAGGCTCTCTTGTCGTACCAGAGGCCCCCAGCCCTGGTGCCCTCTCTTCCAGACCTGCAGCGGCTCCTGGTCAGCCTGGGGGACCGGCCTGGGTCCTTCCTGGGCTCCAGAGAGTGGATCGGAACAGTGGAGGCCGCTCTGGTTCTAGACCATCTGTACGACCTTCCCTGCCGCATCACACACATCAGGGGGGGGGGGCTGGGAGAGGAGGTGGTGGGGGAGTTGGAGCGGCACTTTGAGACTCACCACAGTCCTGTGATGATGGGAGGGGGATCTGACCACTCGTCTAGGGGGCTCCTGGGGGTCTGTCATGGAGGACCAGGTCAGGGGCCCCGGCTGCTGACCCTGGACCCTCATTACTGTGGCCCCCCTCTGGACCGAGCTGAGCTGCAGAGGGGGGGCTGGGTGAGCTGGACCGAGCTCTCGTCTCTGGACCACAGCTCCTTCTACAACCTGTGCATGCCCCAGACTGCGCCATACATCGCACACTGACGCTGTTCTGCTCTTTTTGTTTCCTGCCTTTTAAAGCTGAGGTACCTAACTTTCAAACCACAAGATAAGAATCCAATCTGTACATTTTTTTTTAACAGTGTGGCTGAGTGGTTAGCGCTCTCGCTTCATACCAGAAGGTCCTGGGTTCGAATCCTGGTCACAACAGGGCGTTTCTGAGTGGTGTTTGCATATTCTCCCTGTGTCTGTGTAGGTTTCCTCCAGGCGCTCCAGTTACCACAAAACACATGTACAAAGTGGAATCCTCCTGCTCCTAACAGCACTTTGGGTTGCCTCGTGTATGGACTGTGCATTACAAATAATAATCTCCTTGGACAATTTATGATCAAAGATTATGACAACAAAGGATGAGATACTGTGTTTTTGCAGAAAAAGGGAAACATTGTGAGATAAATGTATTTTTTCATCTGTCTGCTTCACCAAGTTGTGGATTCACCAACAACAGTTTAGAGAATCAACCAGTTCAAACGCAGGAAATGTAATAATAACAAACGCACAGGAGCCATTGGTCCATAGGAACTGAGGCCGCAGACCCAGGACTGAGGCATGAACGGCCTCGTACTGTATTGGAGAGAGCCCATACCCAGCCTTATGGCGCCACCTTGTGTCCAATCGTGTAAATATTTCACGTATAAAAACACAGATGAAACTCTGATAGATAGAATACTGCTCAAAAGGCCATTTACTTCTGTCACTCAACTTAACCCTGACCCAATGTGAGTATGATGCAGACACATTAAAGAGAACAGTACATCACCAACATGCCACTTTGGAATGACTACATCATTGTTTATTTGGATATTTAAATTTTCCTCTGGTGCTCACATGAGGCCTGAGACCCATTTCAAACCAAACATCTTTGTCATTATTTTCTTGGGTGAGGGTTAGGGTGGTGTGCACATAAAAGATCCATGGGTGTGCACTGGCTCTCGCCGCTTCTGGACCACTCTCGGGTACTTGGATACGGCTCTGTAGATGTCGCTGCGTTGAGCGCCATCTAGTGTCCAAGGTCCGTTACACGCCAGACTCGGTATGTGGTGTTTGGTAAAGGTGAGTAGACAAATGATTACTCTGGTAACCTGACCACGTTCGAACCGGGTCAAGTCACACAATGACTGAAGGAGCTCAAGTCTCCTCTTTTTATGAACTTTATGAATCTTTTTTAACTTTTAACATGAAACCAAAACAGTTCGTAGAAGTCTTTTAGAGGTACGCTGTGTAATTTTTTAGTGCGATCTAGTGTTGAGATCATATATTGCAGTCTAATATAGTACCAGACTGCCAAAGATATATCTATTATAGTATATTATAAGATAGGATCTATTATAATATATTGTTTTACCATGGATCTATTATAATATATAGTTTTACCATGGATCTATTATAATATATAGTTTTACCCATGGTTTTATATAACTGTTGTCCTCCATGGTCACAATACGGAATCGGGACGGAAGCGGAAGTAACAATCCTACTTTCAAATTAGTCACTAATAAGTCCTTTAGTGGTGTCTGGTTAAGTTTTAGGTCTGAGTAAGATGGTTAAGGTTAAGGTGGGTCTGAGTAGGATGGTTAAGGTTAAGGTGGGTCTGAGTAAGATGGTTAAGGTTTGGGTTAAGGTGGGTCTGAGTAAGATGGTTAAGGTTAAGGTGGGTCTGAGTAAGATGGTTAAGGTTAAGGTGGGTCTGAGTAAGATGGTTAAGGTTCTACGTCATGGTGCTACGTCCCTTAGGACTTCGCTAGTGGGATATCACTCGTGACCCCCAGGTCACACGCCAGAGAGATCAAAATAATTTGCTCCAATCACCAGCCACCCTCCTCTATAAATGCCCCTGCACAAAGCCGCACCCCCTCTTTCACTCTGGCGCCGTTTGAGATCTACCACAGTACTTACTTCATTCTGAGATGTCTTCCTTGTTCGTCCGAGTTCCCTTCGCCCTCCGGCGTCGGACGTCGTCGCTGGATCCAGACGGTGGAGGACTTCACCTCTGTGGGTCCCACCACTCGAGGAAGGAGGAGGATGCAACCCACGTTGTGCCCGCGGATGGACCCGTTCGTCCATTACGCGACACGTGAGCGGCCTAAGCCCCTAGCAGCCAAGAGACCTGCTCTGGGGTACGACATGTACTGCAGCGGGCAGGACTGGTCCTGGACCGGTGATCGAGGATTCAGTCCGCATGGCCCTGCAGCCCTCCGCATCCGTGTGGCCCGGCACCAGACCTCTCCTTCCCTCCGAGCGGGCCAGGATGTCTTGCCGATGCTGGATAGATATTATGCCAATGCGGCACAGGTCGTCACATTGGCTAACAACATGACATTCATCACAGGGGCCCTGGATAGGTCACTCTCCTCTGGCCAGGCGCTCAGTGGAGACCTCCTGTCACAGGCGAGGACCACCTCGGCGGCGATCCTGCGCATGTGCCAGACGCTAGCCGTGGATGGTGGCCCGGACACAGAGGATTCAGTCCGCATGGCCCTGCAGCCCTCCGCATCCGTGTGGCCCGGCACCAGACCTCTCCTTCCCTCCGAGCGGGACAGGACGTCTATGGCTATGCTGGACAGATGTTACGCCAATGCGGCACAGGTCGTCGCTGTGGCGAATAACATGGCCTTCATCACGGGGGCCCTGGATAGGTCGCTCTCTTCTGGCCAGGCGCTCAGTGGAGACACCTTATTACAGGCGAGGACCACTTCAGCGGCGATCCTGCGCATGTGCCAGGCGCTAGCTGTCGATGGCAGCAGCTCAAGTCGGGGCCAGGCACCTTTGGCTTGGGCTTGCTAACATCAGAGAGGCGGAGAAGAGGCAGCCGCTGGACCTGCCTGTTTCTCAGACGTCCCTCTTCGGTCCGGACATGCAGACCCTGGTGGCTAGACTGGAGACCGCAGCCAAGGACTCGGCTAGCCTAGCCCAGCACCTAGCGCCGAGGCGCGAGGCCCGCCCACCAGCGCGGAGCCGGGACAGAGGCAGGGAGCGTTCGCCCGGGAGGCGCCCTGACCCATATCCACGCTCCGTGGCCTATCGTCCCCCCTCGATGAGGCCCCCGGGTCCCAGACCCACGGGAGGCTCGCGGGACCAACGCACCCACCGCCGACCTCCCTATGGCTCATCAGGTCCATTCGTAAGGTGCTGAATTCCACTTTGAGGACGCAAAGTTTGGACGAGGAAGGCTTGCACACTATGCTTTGTGAGGTGGAAGCCATCTTAAACAGCAGACCAATCACCAAGGCCTCATCGGACGTCAATGACCTAGAAGCGTTGACCCCTAACCACCTATTGCTATTGAAGACCTCTCCATCTTTACCACCAGGACTATTTGAATCGAGTGACTTGTATGCCCGCAAGAGATGGAAGCAAGTTCAATATATGTCTGATTTATTCTGGAAACGGTGGGTGAAAGAATACTTACCTCAGTTGCAAGAGCGTCAAAGATGGACTAGTTCGAAAAGGAATCTGGCAGTGGGAGATCTTGTACTCATCGTGGACAGCGCTGCACCCCGAAACTCATGGCCCCTCGGACGCGTTATTCAAGTTTTCCCAGATAGAAAAGGATTCGTTCGTCAAGTTCGCATAAAGACCAGGAGCAGCTGTTTGGACAGGCCCATAACTAAAGTTTGTTTGCTGCAGGAGGAGTCTGGTTAAGGACGTACCAGCTCGCTTTACAACTTTGGCCAATTCATCTTTTTGGTGGGGGCAAAAAGATGGTTCGGACTTTTTCCAAATGCGTGGAGGCAGCACTGGAGCCGCTCAGACGCGCAGGGGTAAGAATTTTAACCTACATAGACGACTGGTTAATTCTGGCCTCAATCCAGGGAAGTGGCCGTGAGCCACACGCACTGGTTCCTGTCCCACATACAGCGTCTGGGCTTTGTGGTAAGCAGGGAGAAAAGCAAGCTGCAGCCAGCTCAACGCATGATTTATCTCGGTCTGCAGTTAGACTCTGTGACATTCCGTGCTGCATTGCCCGTGGACAGACGGATGAACATTACCCGTCTGGCCAGGGAGGTTCTGACGGGCCCCAGAGTCCCCGCTCGGCGCCTCAGGTCCCTGCTGGGAATGATGGTGGCGGCTCATGCTGTGGTGCGGCTAGGCCTTCGCCACATGAGGAATTTTCAGAGGTGGTTCTCACGCCTCAGGCTTCACCCCTCCCGGGACGGGGGGAGGCTGATCTGGGTTCCCCAAGTGGCAGCATCGGACATCAGGTTCTGGCTCACTCCGGGTCTATTGCGGGACGGAGTGACTCTGGCCTGCGCCGTGTCTCACGTGGAGGTGTTCACGGACGCGTCGCTCGAAGGATGGGGCGGGGTCCTCAGCCAGAGCTCTGTAGGAGGCTGCTGGTCGGACTCAGCCCGTCACATCAACCTGCTGGAGATGGAGGCAGTGCACAGGGTACTGCTGCACTTGCTCCTCAGCTGCAGGGGAGACACGTGATGGTGCGCTCAGGCAACACCACAGTGGTCTACTATCTGAACAGGCAGGGGGGCACCAGGTCCCCCGCTCTCCATCGCATGGCGACGGTGACGCTGCTGTGGGCGGCGCTTCACCTCCTGTCTCTCAGGGCGCGCCACGTCTCGGGGGTCCGGAACGTGGGGGCCAACAGGATGTCCAGGGGGGGCCCACTCCAGGACGAGTGGGGCCTGGCCCCACGGGTAGCTGCGGAGATCTGGCGGAGGTTCGGCCGTCCAGTGGTCGACCTTTTTCGCCAGTGCAGAAAACGCACAGTGCCCGTCCTGGTTTGCCTTAAGGGCCGCGGACGAGCCGCCCTTAGGCGTGGACGCTCTGGCTCATTACCCCTGGCCAGGGGGCCTGCTGTACGCTTTCCCACCAGTGCGTCTCCTGCCGGTCCTGCTGCGGAGGATCGAACAGGAGAGGAGGTCGGTGATCCTGGTGGCTCCGGACAGTCCGCATGCCCGGTGGTTCCCCTTCCTGAGGGGCATGGCGGTGATGGAGCCCTGGGCCCTCCCGGACGAGCCGGGGGCTCTAGT